AGGGATAGAAACCCTCACTAAGACACGCACTGAGCAAGTAGAACCCTCAGCAATATCCTTCCTTTATTCATTAAATCACTACTAGGCCATGCCCAGAGGTGTGCATGGGACAGAAATGGTCCAGTCTGGGAGCAGAAATTCTTGTGAAGGATGTAATGAGCCCTAACCTACATTTAGGCAAGACAGCCAGAGTCCTCTCCCTGGGCTCTGGAAGAACGAGGGATGAGGCTTCTCCAGCCAGGGCTCGCTCAGGGATGTCTCTGGGAAGAAGTGGCCTCAGCCGTGAGACCTGAAGGCTTCGAGGCTTCGAGGGAGCTGGCAGGAGGGCAGTCAGTGCAAAAGCCCGAGACAGCCCCAACGGAGGGTTTGCATGGTGCACTGGATCCACTCAGCTGGGGAGAGTTCGTTTCTTCTTGCTCTTCCAGGCAAGCCACGTGAGCATGCCGTGAAATGAGAGGTTGGCTCCCTCGGGCCCCCTCTGGGTCAGACAGTCTGGTTCCAGGGCGTTCTGCTGGGTCATCCGCAACTCTTGTTTAGGCTCATTCCCATCCGGGTCTGATTTAGCAGTTCCTCTCAGGCTGTACCAAGGGAGCTATTTCAGAAACTCCCAAAGGCAATTCAAGCCCTGGCCATCATTTAGGGGAGGAAGAAAAGAGCCCTAAGTGAGGGACTCAGTCATAAAAGCCGCCTAGCCCCACAAGCCTGCCATGCTAAATTTAGCCGCTTCACCCCGAAATGAGGTGAAATTGCAGGTTTCTGGTGGGCGGTGACGCGGGTGGCTGTGGACAGAAGTTTCTGCTTCCTCTGCCTGCACCTGAGGGCAGAGACCCAGGACTGTGTCCAGGGTTCCCAGAGGAAAGCAGGTCCAGGTGAAGCCGCCTTCAGCTGGTCTGCAGGGTCCAGCGGTACCGGGTGCCACCAGAGCCAGGCAGCAAGGGGCAGGACGGAGAAGAGGTTGCCCCGTCTGCCACCAAAGGTTTGGGAACTATGGCTGCTGTGCCCGCTCCTCTGCCCAGGGGTCCCACAGGTCCTAGCTGCTCACCTTGCCTCCTGCAGACAACTGGCTGCCCAGGGTGGCTCAGAGCCACCCAAAGGTCCCTCTGCACAGCCTGGGCCTCCTTGTTTGCAGACAGCAGCTTTGTGGAGTTGGTGCCGGCCAAAACAGAGGTAGTTGGGTGAGCCCAGGGGTCCTCAAGGGGCCCCAGTAGCCCACCTTGCTTTTCGTTTTTTGGTACCCCTGTGTGCGGTGCCTGATACAAAGCTAGCATCAGGGGTTCTAGAACGTTCCCTGGGGCTTGTCAGCGTCTGCTCATGAATCCTAGTCTGGGGAGCCCAAACTCAATCCTTCTCTCTCCCACTTGGGGGGTTGGGGAATAGCCTTACCTGGCTGGCCAGGATGGGGTGCTGCTGACTGCATAGCTCAGTTGCTGCTATGTGGTCAGGGAGCTTCCCAGCCCTGCCCCCATTTCAGGCTCTCCCCTCTCCTCGACTGCTGGGTGGAGGGGTCTTCAGGGCACCCGGGAGGTGAGCACAGCCCAGCTCCTGTGTAGGGCGCAGTCTCAGCTCTGGGGTTTCCTGTCAGCAGAGGTGCAGGAGCCATCCGTCTCCCAGACTGTTTCTTTTGTTTTCTGTTGTTGGTTTGAGAAATCTGTAGCTTTGGCTTGCCTGGGAGTCACAGCAATCCTGCTTCAGCGTCCCAGGTAATAGAATAATGACTTCAGTTCAGTTGCTTTTCTTTTTAAAGATTTATTTATTTTATGTGTGTGTGCATGGAGGAGCCCTCAGAGGTCAGTGAGAGAGAGTGTCGGGGGCCCTGAAGCTGGGGTTATAGGTGATTGTGAGCTGTCATGTGTGTGCTGGGGACCGAACCTGGGTCCCCTGCAAGATCAGCCAGCCCTCTTAACTGTTGAGCCATCTCTCCAGTCCCAGCCTCGGCGTCTTTTTTTTTGGTTTTTCGAGACAGGGTTTCTCTGTAGCTTTGGAGGCTGTCCTGGAACTCACTTTGTAGACCAGGCTGGCCTCGAACTCACAGAGATCCGCCTGCCTCTGTCTCCCAAGTGCTGGGATTAAAGGTGTGTGCCACCAACGCCCGGCTTCAGCCTCGGCGTCTTTATCTAAGAGAACTTGTCTTGGGAATGGACCAAGCTGGTCCAGCCTCAGGCAGGGAGCAGGCCGTGGGCTGTGAGGCCTGTGGCGTGTGGGAGTCACAGGGGCACGTCTGCAGCAGAGCCAGGGATTGGCATCCAGCAGGCACCGGCTCTGTGGATACAATGTCATTGGTGTCTCGGTGGGTAGAGCGCTTGCCCAGCATCTCTGAGGTCCCAGGCTCTGGCGCTACATCAATTGGGTGTGTATGTGATGTAATTTACTCAGGAGGTAGAGGCAGGTGGGTTAGCCTTAACTACATAGCAAGTCTGAGGCTAGCCTGGGCTACATGAAACCCAGTTCCAAAAAACAAACCAAAAAACAAAAACAAAAACAACAACAGCAACAAAAAACACACCCTTTTATCTCTGTTACTCAAGTTCCTTTAGTTCTGAAGTGGCTGAGCTAAGCAAAAGTAACCAATGCGTGTGGCCGGAAAAGACACCCACATGCCCTATCTACCCTCTATCTGCCCTCTGCCCACCTCCCTGTTGGTCATTGTTCGAGGGGGCTGCTGGGGGATTAGAGGGTAGGCTTAGCCTCTCTTGTGGGTCTCAGCACCCTGATGATGAACTGGGGTCTTCCAGGTACCCCAAGCTCACATAGCCACTTGAGGGAGCCTCATCTCAGATGAGGGCAAGTCCACAGTCTGTCTGTGGTGACTGAAGGATCCAAGGATTCTGAGGAAAAGGATTCTGACCCCAGCCCAGACCTAGAGACCCCAAATAGGAGATACCGAAGAAGGCTGTCCTGAGAGGTGTCCAGGAACAGAGGGCAGAACTGGCCAGGAAGTCAGCCCATGGGGCCAACTGCAGAGTAAGAAACAGGTCTCTGAGCTCTGTCCCTGTCACAGGGAGATGAGTAGGGTCCTAGGACCTCATAGTGCTGGCCTGTGGGGATCCCCTTAGGGGGACACTGGCTGTCACTGGCCTGTGGGGACCCCAGCCTCCCTAGCCCTCAGGGGACAATGGCTGTCGCTGTCAGAGACCAGGAATGCCCACCAGCTGGACAGAGCCCGAATGAAGACTTTGAGGACTCCAGGGTGGCCCTGACTTCCTCTTTCCCTGGCCCAGCATTGGGAGAAGGTGACAGCCATTCTGGAGTGGGCTGAGGGCAGGAGCCTTGGTGGGTTGGTGACACCCAGCAGAAGGAGGGACAGCCTAAGATGGAGTGTTCATAATTCCCACTGAAGCCAGGAAGAGGATACCAGTGCCTCAAACGCCTCCCTGAACAAGTCAACGGGGCGGGGAGCTGTGTCCCCAGCGATGGTACCTGGGTGCCAGGTGAGACGCACACACTTCCGGGTTCCAAGCAGGCTTTGCAGTTCCCCCATAAGAGTCCCGGAAGGTCTTTGCTGCCCTCCGGCCCTCAGTTTCCCCCATCTGAGGAGCTGAGGCATCAGTTGTTCCTGCTCCTTAGGAGGTAGTGTGGGTTGAATAAGGGGCTTTGTCTGCTGCATTTCTCACAGGGCTTCATACCTCCTCACATCGCCTCAACTTCCCCATCGGTGTGCAGGAAGCACGTGAACCCTGGGCAGCCAGCAGGGACTGAGCGGACACTGACTGCATTCAGGGCTCTGGTCCCCTCAGTCAAATGTCCAGTGAGTCATTTTACACACACACACACACACACACACACACACACACACACACACACACACACACACACACACATTCACAGGTACACACTCCTTGTACATGGAGGACTCCCAGCACATCTTGTTCTTGGTGAGAACCTCTGAGCCCATTTTACAGTTGTGAACACCAAGGCCCAGGCCCAGAGCTGAGGCTAGCTTTGTGCTTTAGATGCCTTCCTGTATACTGTGCCGTGTGGTGGTGCCTCAGGATAGGAGGCAGACGGCAAAGGCTTGTAGGATTGCACCGGCGTGCAGAGATGCAGCATGGGTGAGCAGAGGAGCAGCACGGGCCTCTGAACCCCCGAGAGGGACAGACTCTAAACAAAATGCGAGACCAACACCGGCAGCTGTGAACAGGCTGCAGCAGGCCAAGGCGTGGAGGTGAAGGAGATACCGGGGGACAGGGTCACTACAGGGGAAGGAGCCTCGGGGGGTGGAGGTGTTGGGAGGCCGTGTGTGGGCATTCGAGTCCCTGGAACCCTTAGACTGGCACCGTCCTGGCTAAGGAACAGAGTATGAAACGGCAGCAGGAGAGATTTAGGTTAGATACGGAGAAGTTTCCGACTGTCTGTGCTAGAAGATGCCAGCTCGCCGGGCTGTGCTCCCCAGGGATTTTTTCCATCTGGAGATGGTTTGGAAAATAGAGAAGCTAGCCGGGACCCCGTGGGCGGCCTCATTGCAGCCTGGATCCCAGATAGGCAGTGAGCCCAGGCTGGTAGCAGCCATTGATGTGTTTGTCACTGTTGCTTCAAATCCACCCATGGCTCCCCACTACCTCTGCCCAGCTGGAAGGCCAAAGTCCTCCCTAGGCGACCTGCTCTCTGGGGACCTGTGTCTGCAGCCCCTCCAGTCCTGTGTCTGCGGCCCCTCCAGTCCTACAAGGGGTTGTAGCCCTGCTCTGTCTCTGGGCTACAGCTGATCCTCTGGTGCCACAGGGCCTTTGCCCACGCTGCTGCCATCTTGTTTGTGCACTCAGTGTGTCCGGTACAGAGCTTGCACACAGTAGGTGCTTAGTGCTGGCTCTGCATGTGGGGGAGGGGAGAGCGGAAGGCTCGTGGGCTCAGCATTGAGATGCACAGAGGCCTGGCTTTGAACCCCACGTCCCCTCTCCTCATGCAGCCGCAGCCGGCTCCGGTGTGAGTGGAGGCAGGGCCCGCGTGCGCTCTCGAAGCTGTTGCAGACTGTCTAGCCATGCTGACTTCCTGTCCTCTCCTCTCAGGTGACAGCCATGTCTGTGAGGTTGCACTTCCTGTCTCCGGGGGATGCCGGGGCTGTGGGGACTGTGGGCCGCAGCGCCTCCTTCGCTGGCTTCGGCGTGCAAACCCGGAGGGTCTCGTAAGTCTCCTGGGGTTGGAGAGTGGGGTGGGGGAGGGCACAGAGCTCAGCCAGTGACCCGGACATCAAAGTATGGGGGGTGCGCCTGCTCCTGGAGGAACTTCTCATTTCATTTCCCACCAGCCTGGTCTACATCATTTCACTTCCACAGCCAACCGCTGAGCTTATCACCACACAGCAAATGAGGAAAAAAGCTCAGAGAGGTAGCGCCACTACTCGAGGGTCACACAGCAAAATGTCTTCTCAGTTGGCCTTAGCCACCTAGGGGTGGGGTATGAAGGAATGTTCTTCCTGTTTAGTAACCTGGCTGATGGGGCCACCTGACCTGGCTGTGGCCTCAGGCAAGTGACTTCACCTCTCTGAGCCCAGGTTTCCTCACTCTTGAACATGGGAGGTTGTGGCTTCCCCTATGGTTGTTGTGAAGGGGAGTTGACACTGGGCAGGCTGCTGGCTTCAGCTGCTACCCTGGGGACTGGGGGTGTGGCTTTCTGATGACAGCAGCTGGCTGGGCGATGTGGGCTGGTGTCCTCACAGGGTGGCTGTTGGGTGGGTGTGGGGCACCTGCCTGAGCAGGGCCTGGGGTCCTCCCCCGGACATGCTGTGACAGCAGGAGCTGGCCAGGGAGAGACTCAGCTGGGACACAGCACATGCGAGGGCCTGGGAGAGAGAAGCCAGAGTGACTGGAGCACAGGCGGAGCTAACCCAGGGCCTGTGGTCACGAGGCCATGAGGGGCCTCCAGGTCCGAGGGGCCGCTGAGGTCTTTAAGTACAAGCGTGTGTGTGTGTGTGTGTGTGTGTGTGTGTGTGTTTGTGTGTGTGTGTGTGTGTGTGTGTCATTGTGGAAATTGACTGTTGATCAGCTAACCAACCAGCCGAGCTCTGCGCCCTCTGTGGTGGGGACCTGTCCACCCGTCTGCTCAGGCGCTGTTTGGGGCCTTTGGCTGTGCCCTGGGGGCTTGTTCAGTGTCCCATTGAGGCCATTGAATCTGGGCTGTTGGGCCCGAGCTCATGGGGCAGAAGGGACGGAGAGGACGGAGCACTGGTTTCGAACTCACAGAGATCCACCTGCCTCTGCCTCCCGAGTGCTGGGATTAATGGGGTGTGCCACCAACACTCAGCTAACCAGTGCTCTCACTGCACCTTCTTCCTCTTCCTCTTCCTCCTCGTCCTCTTCCTTTTTCTTTCTTTCTTTCTTTTTTTTTGGAGACAGGGTTTCTCTGTGTAGTCCTCGCTGTCATCTGTAGACCGGGTTGACCTTGAACTCACAGAGATACACCTGCCTCTGCCTCCCAAGTGCTGGGACTAAAGGCATGCGCCACCACCATGGGCCTGCATGGCTGTTGCGCCACCACCACTGGGCCTGCATGGCTGTTTTTAACTCCCTTTCCATCTCCCTGGTGTCTGACACCAGTTTGACCTGGATTGGGCTGCAGGCCTCACCTCTGTCCCGGATTCTCAGATTTCTTACCAGGCAGGGACACAGCTGCAGAGATGAGGGGCCACATGAGGGCAAAGCGACCCTGGACGCCTAGCACGACTCCATCTCAGTGGGACACACTTCTGCGTTGCACCCTGTCCCTCCCCAGTTCTTTGACCAGCCCAGGCTTTGTACCCCACAGAAGGAAGTTACCTGATAGAATTAACACTAAGGTGTGCTAAAGCCATTTCCCTCTTCCAGGCTCTGAGGGGGTAGAGCTGCACCAGGTGCCCACAGAGATCTAGTAGTTTCTACCAGCAGGCTCAGCAGCAGCTTGGCATCCAGGCTGCCCTCCCCGGTACTGCCGGGCAGGTGCCTCTGTAGCCAGGAGTTGGGTGGGGTCATCAGACTTGGTTTTAAACCACTCCTGGTGACAGGCTCAAAGATCCATAGAGTGAAGGCGGTATCGTTCGTCTGAAGCGTGCAGAGTTGAGTCTCAGCATGGTAAAGCTGTCATTGTCCTCCACCACGGGTCACCGGGCACAGAACCGTGGCCAGCCTGGTTGATGGGTGCAGTCAGGGGTCTATGTGGTCAGTCCAGTGCCTGCCCTGCCTGGAGGCTGGGGCAGGTTCAGCATGTGACCAGATCCTGCCCAGGCAGGGTCAGCACAAGGCTGGGGACAGTCATGACAGACAGAGGCTGCTTGTGAGTACCAGGCACTAGGCTTCACGTGCCGGGAAGCCTGTCTGGCAGGCCTGGGGCTGTTTAATATTTACTGAGTCCTCCTGGAGCTGGTGACACATCCGCCCCCAGAGGCTGCTCCCAGCCCTGTGACAGCAGCCAGCGTGCAGCATGTAGCCTCATTTCAGCATCCAGGCTGCGCTGTGCCAGCCCTTGGAGCCACTGTCTTCAGAGGCTCAGAGACAGCGCTGGGCTTGGACCCTCAAGAGCCCCAGGGAGAGGGAAGGGGTGGCCGAGGGGCACAGCTTCGGGGCCTGTGGACCTCTGAAGTGAGCTGCAGCTCCACCCAGAGCCACCTCCCGCCTCACTGCCCTCTGGCTGCCTGGACTGTCTTCATCTGTCAGAAACCCACTTGTCCCCTTGTCTGCCGTGTGGCCTGTCAGTGCCTGAGATGGCAACTCTGTGGAGGGCCCGGTCCAAGAGGTGGGTGACGTGGGGGAGGGGGAGGGGAGGGGTGGGGGAGGGGGAGGGGAAGCGGGAGAAGGGGGTTTCCAAAAGCCATTCCAGTACAGTGTGAATGTCAGCACCAGAGACAAAGCAATGGTGACATCCCTGCCCTAGCCACTGCTGGGACAGCTGTCCCCTCCCTGCCCACTTGGCTTTTCTCTTCTCTCTCTTCTCTTCTCTTCTCTTCTCTTCTCTTCTCTTCTCTTCTCTTCTCTTCTCTCTCTTCTCTTCTCTTCTCTTCCCTTCCCTCCCCTCCCTTCCCCCCTCCTCTCCCCTCCCCTCCTCTCCCCTCTTCTCTCTCCTCTCCTCTCCTCTGCATCAGGCCCTATCTGATAGGCTTGCTCCAAACTTACCTCCTCAACTTTGGCACATATGTGGTGCCTGCTGTTTACCACACACTGCTTGGAGCAGAGCCTCCCTGGACCCCATTCCACAGAGAGACAACCGAAACCCAGAGAGACTCCATCACTTCCTTACCTAGGGCCACACAGCTTGGTCGTGGGACAGCCAGATCATGACCACACCAGCTGGCCTATATCTCTCAGGGTGGGCGTTTGTTTATTTCGTTACTGCTCTGTCCTGTCCTAGTCCCTGGAATAGTCGGCACCATCTAGTAAACGTCTGCTGAGGGACGGCCATGACACATCTCAGGGCAGCGTTCTTAACTCTGCTCTAGGAAACTGAGGCTGAGCGGGTTAAGTATCCAGAGCTGTGGCACTGGGGTTTGGACACAGGCTAAGTACAGACACAGGCTCCTGTGGGGTTTGGACAGGGACTGAGTACAGACACAGGCTCCTGTGGGGTTTGGACAGGGACTGAGTACAGACACAGGCTCCTGTGGGGTTTGGACAGGGATTGAGTACAGACATAGGCTCCTGTGGGGTTTGGACACAGCCTGAGTACAGACATAGGCTCCTGTGGGGTTTGGACAGGGACTGAGTACAGGTACAGGCTCCTGTGGGGTTTGGACACAGCCTGAGTACAGACATAGGCTCCTGTGGGGTTTGGACAGGGACTGAGTACAAACTCAGGCTCCTGTGGGGTTTGGACATGGACTGAGTACAGGTACAGGCTCCTGTGGGGTTTGGACACAGCCTGAGTACAGACACAGGCTCCTGTGGGGTTTGGACAGGGACTGAGTACAGCCATAGGCTCCTGTGGGGTTTGGACACAGCCTGAGTACAGACATAGGCTCCTGTGGGGTTTGGACACAGCCTGAGTACAGACTCAGGCTCCTGTGGATTGGTATGTGCTGGGTTGGTCCCCAAGCAGGGTGACAAGCAGGCCTGGCTTGAGTAAGCTGCCCGTCTGTGTTGTGTCTCCCACGTGTGGAATGCTCAGCATCTCACCCAGCCGGAACTAACCTAGTGGCTTTTCTCAGGGCTGAGGAAAGAGCAGAGCCATGGCCTGTGCCCCGCCCCTGCCTGCCTCATTAACCCTCACTCCTCTCCTCGAGAGGTAGACTGTGACCCTCAGGGACACTCAGACCACCAGGGGCTGCTCAGTGAGCGCCTATTGGATGGACACTCCCTGAGCTCCTGGTTTCTAAAAGTACGCTTGAGATGCTGAGGCAGGAGGACTGCTGTGAGCTTGAGGCCAGCCTGGGTGACGGAGAGACACTATCTAAAAAAGAAAGGACAATGAGAAAATGCTCAAGGACGTCAGAAAGACCCCTAGACAGGCCGTGTCTTCAGTGTGTGTGTGACTCCCAAAAGCCCAGGGTCAGTGAGCCCCAGAGGCAGAAGGCCATATGTATGCACTGCTAATAAATGAACCCAACGGTTTATTTTACAATTATGCAGATGGGCTCTCATGTGCCTGGGACTGGCCTTGAACTCTATGTTGCTAATGACTCCCTTGGACTCCCTAGCCTCCTACCTCTACCTCCCCACACTGAGATTAGAGACCTGTACCTCAGGCCTGGCTGTACCTTTGTTAAGGCAGGGTAGGCCTCCTAAGTTCCCGGTGTTGAGGAGGGGTTTGCAGTGTGACTGAGCAGTCTGTACTGAGTGACCACCCTGTGCGGCCTGTGCCCTGTGCCCCACCTCCTGCTGGGTCCTCCTGTTCCTGGAGCAGGGTTTGGAATGTGGCCCGTCCACCCTCCTGTCTCTGTCCTCTGGTCCCTGTGGCCGTAGCCTTCCCTGCGTCTGTGTGGCACACTGTTAGCTGAGCATCTGGGAACCGTGACTGGGATGCAGTTGTTCCCATCAGCTCACGTATAAAAAGCACCTGCTAATGACTGACCCACATGTGACAGTCACAGAACTATGGTCTCAGCTTCCCTGCTTTACAGGTGACAAAACAGAGGCCTGTGTGCATGCTAGCTAGCACCCAAGGAAGCTGTTTTAACTAAAGGCAGAAGCTTAAATGAGCTGTAACTGCTCAGACACCCACGGCCATGAGTGGCGGTTCTGAATGGGGATTGGGGTCTTCCCTTCCAGGCTGCCCAGGCCCATGCTTCTCTGCCCTCATGTTGCTTAGCCAATGGCGGCTCCCTTTCCCTAGCATGAAGGAAGGCTCCTGCCTCCTAGAGTGAATGGAGCTGTCTGTCCAGATGGGCTAATGGCTTCTTCCCTCTGGGAACCAACTTTGCGATTACGTTTTCTTTTCTTCTTCCTTCTTTCCTTCTTTCTTTCCTTCTTTCTTTCTTTCTTTCTTTCCTTCTTTCCTTCTTTCTTTCTTCCTTCCTTCCTTTCTTTCTTTCTTTCTTTCTTTCTTTCTTTCTTTCTTTCTTTCTTTCTTTCTTTCGTTCGTTCTTCGAGACGGGGTTTCTCTGTATTGTTTTGGAGGCTGTCCTGGAACTCACTCTGTAGATCAGGCTGGCCTCGAATTCACAGGGATCTGCCTGCCTCTGCCTTCGAAGTGCTAGGATTAAAGGTGTGCTTTTTCTTTTAAATTTCATTTATTCATATTTTTTATGTATGGTTGCTCTGCATGGATACCTGCAGGCCAGAAGAGGGCACCAGATCTCACTACAGATGGTTGTCAGCCACCATGTGGTTGCTGGGAATTGAACTCAGGACCTCTGGAAGAGCAGCAAGTGCTCTTAACCGCTGAGTCATCTCTCCAGCCCTGAGAACCAACTTTGTGGTGGTTCCAGACACACTTGCATCAGGTTTCTTCTAAGATTGTAGCCCTGAAGCTGCCACAGTGAAAACCACCAGGAAAAGTCTGAGGAGGCTGAAAGCAAAGCTGAAGGCAGCATGCCTAGTCCTCCAGCCTCTGGAGGGACAAGTGCACACGCACGCACACACACACACACACACACACACACACACACACACACACACACACACACACACGTGTGCAGACAGACACTCTGGCCACTGTCCTGACTGCTTTTGTCGCTGTGATAACAGATCCTCATCAAAAGCAATTCAGGGCAGAGAAGGCTTATTCTGCTCACAGCTGCAGGTCACAGGAGGGAAATCAAGGCAGGAACCAGAGGCAGCTGGTCACATGACTTCACAGTCACGAGCAGAGAGAAAGGAATGGGCACATGTTGACTGTTGGCTTCTCTACTCTTCCACGGTCCAGGGCCCAAACCTAGGGAATGGTGCCGCCCACTTCAGGCTGTGTCCTCCCACATCAGTGAAGGCCACCAAGACAGCATGTGCACTGACCAGCCTGGTCTGCACAAGCCCTCACTGAGACTCAGCTCCCTGGTGGCCATACATGATGTCACCTTGACAATTACCATCCCTACTACTTTCTTTCTCTAAAATCCACAAGTGAAAAAGCAGACCTGGGGGCTGTGTCTGGGGAGGTTAGAGCTGAGCAGGAAGCTGCATCCTGCAGGAGCCCAGGGGCTGCGATTCTCAGGGCTGCTTTGTGTGTCCCTGGAAGCTCCTCTCTCCTCTCTCTCCCTCTCCCTCCCTCCCTCCCTCCCTCCCTCCCTCCCTCCCTCCCTCCCTTCCTTCCTTCCTTTTCTTTTCTTTTTGAGACAGTGTTTCTCTGTGTGACAGCCTGGCTGTCCTAGAACTTACTTTGTAGTCCAGGCTGACCTCAAACTCACAGAGATCCGCCTGCCTCTGCTTCCTGAGGGCTGGGATTAAAGGCGTGCACCACCACCGCCCAGCAGGAGCTTGCTTCTAAGGTTTGTAACTGTCCTCTTCATCTTCAAACCCAGTCCTCCTATTTTCCAGATGGGGAAACTGAGGCTCCGAGAACCTCAGCTTTCTGAAGAGCACACAGTTTGGAGGTGATGGAAGTGGAGCCCAGCCAGCTGTCCTGACTCTCTGTCCCCTCCCACAGAAAGTCCATCAACAGGAACTCTGTGAGGTCACGGCTGCCCGCCAAGTCCTCCAAGGCTTACGGTACACTGCGCAAGGGCTCGCTCTGTCTGGACCCCCGGCCGCAGCAGGTGAAGAAGATCTTTGATGCTTTGAAGAGAGGCCTCAGGTGAGTAGGGAGAGACAGACGGACAGGCAGCAGTACTGAGCAGTATGTCAGGTGTAGGCAGAAAAGTCAGGCGTGGTTCTAAAGGGACTGCTCCACACCACCTCAGCCACAGCACAGCCACAGGACAGGAAGTAAGTCTCCTGGGGATAACGGGAAGGCCAGAGGCCTCCAACTTCAGGGACCCTAGGACAAGAGAAGCAGGGATGCAGAGTGACATCAGAGGGACAAAGGACAGAACTACAGGACCGTGTGAGCTGTGGAGGCCTTCGCTGCCCATCTTGAGAGAGCTGGGAGCCACAGAAGGTCCTGTGGGTCCTGTGGTGAGGGAGGAGGCGCCAGGCTTTCGGGCCTGGGCCTCAAGACCCATCCTCTGACGGTTATGAGCTGACGGTGGACTTGTATGTGGTGTTTGGGGGAGTGAGAAGGAGACAGGATCAGCTTGGGTCACATGGGGAAGCATGTGGGGCTTCAGGCTTGGGAAGGAGAGAGGGGAGAGGTGGCCCCAGAGACAATAGCAGGATTTGTCTTTATTCCGAGCAGAGGTAGATGTCACTGGGCTCCAGCTCTGTGAGTACGGAGTGTGGCCTGAAGGGGGCGCTGGTGTCCCAGCTAGGAGAGCCGCACAGGCCGAGTTAGAAGGAAAATGAACAAACCCATCTGTTGGGGCAGCTGATGTCACTGTCAGTCAGTAAGCTGACCTTGATAGGATAAACGGGGTGGGGGTGGGGTGGGTTCCACGCTGTGGATGTGGCAGGAACAGTCACAGGGGAAGGGACACACCTTGCCCCCACAGGACAGTGGCCTCTGGAGGCATTTCCCACACACAGTGACACCTAAGTCCCCAAATGTCAGAGTGGAGGGCACACCCCCTTCTCCACCCTCTCTAGAGACCGCCCTGACCTAGTCGACGCTGTGAAAGGAGCGGTTTTCAAAACTCTGGCTCTGACTTAGACAGTGCTCTCCAGAGAAGGAGAGGTTGAGGTTCCGAGAAAGTGCTAGCAGGCCCTGCTTGGGCTGTAGACCCTGCTGAGACAGGTGTGTGCCCTTCGCCTCAGGAGGGAAGGAACCTCGAGAAGGGCCGCCTGGCTCCCTGCTTCCTTGTTGCTTAACCCGGACACCACAAACCCCCGAAGCACCCTCCCTTCTTATCTGGAGCAGGGAGGAGGGGCAGGGCCCAGCCAATATGGTCAGATAGCCAGCTGCCTTGAATGAGCACTGTAAGAGGAGCCCAGCCCTGGGTTGTCACTTGGAAAGGGACTTTCCCTTCCCCCAGCCACAGGCTCGATTCTGCCACTCAACACTCCACCGACCTCCTCCTTCCTGGCCCTGGGTCCATGGCCTCATTTCCCTCCCCTGTCAGCTCTCTGTTTGTTCTGACATCTCTGCCCCCCCCACCCCCCAAACCCCACCCACCACGCCCTCCTCATCTTAGGCCTCCCTAGCCAGTTCCTCGCTGCCCGCAAGGATCCATGTGTGGCCGACCATCTTCACAACGTGCCTAGTCATGGTTAGACTGATTTATGGGGGTTTGGGGGTGACAGAGGAGAACCCCAGGCAGAGAGCTAGCCAACCCTTACGCTGGCCAGCTATCCCGTTCCTCCTATCTGCTCAGATCTCCGTCCGTTGCTCCACCCCCCCCACAACTCCCCACCCACTGTCTACCTTAGGGAACACCTGTGTGAGCAGCAGGCTGAGCTGGATTACCTGTGCGGACGCCACACAGACTCTCAGAGGAGCTCCAGGCTGGTGAGTGGCCGGGATGAAGATGGAGCTGCTCACAGTGGTCTCCATCTCAGGCCTGAGGTATCTGCAGTGAACTTTCTCACCTGGATTCTGGGAGGAGCGGTCAGACAGGTGACTGCAGAGGTGCGTGTGTGTCTGATGGCGCCATCCCTCAGGGTTTGGCCATCAGACACCAGATCCAGGCAGTTCATGTGACTCAGGAAAGTGATCATTTCTGTGTGTCATGGGCCCTGCTCCTGCCTCAAAGTGAGCCCGTATGTCATGGTGTCCAGGGTGATAGTTTTCTGTGGATAGCAGGGTGTGGGGTTCACAGACTGAGAGTTGTTGCTCAGTGTATCAAAAACCAAAATCAAACAGCAGAAAGACAGGATGCCCAGTTAAATCTGATCTCGGACAAGCAAAGACTCTGCTACTCTAGGTCTATGGCCCTGTGAGCTGTGTGCACCAGAAGCTTAAGTCCCCAGGAGGTGCCCTGTACTGTATCTCCCATAAGGGACCCCTGTCCCTGTCTCTGTCTCTGTGGCTCCGATGATCCCCTCTCACTCATCTTTAACTTAGGGTCAGAACCCGGGTCCCAAGTCAGGTCCCACTACCAGCCCTTACTAAGCCAATTAAAAGCCAAATAAAAAGAGGAAAGCAGAAAAAGGAGACTTATTCAATGTGTTAAGAAGAGGAAGGAACGGATCCAGAAACCCCAGAAGTCCACCAGTCTTTTAAAGTTTAAATAGAGGCAGGGATATAGACATCTAAGCGGCCCCAGCAAGGCGTGGTCCTGCCCACCACTGGGGACTTCAGTCTCATCCTGTAGAACCGTGTGGAATTTCCTGGGAAGACAAGTCCCCCACATCGGGCAGGAGTCCTTTTCCTTTCCCCTGCATGAACTTCCTGAGAGATTCCCATTTCTCTGGTATCTGTTGTTTCAATAGTTGAATAGACAGATTGGAAGACACACCTTAGACTGTCTTCATTTCTGCAAAGCAAATTATGTCACCTGCTGCTGTCTGGGGGAAGTGCCACCCAGCCTGTCTTGGTCACACGCCAGGAGCAAAGCTGGCATGTCTTGTCATAAACCCTGGGCTTCCCACGAGCTGTGTCCCCATGTCCCTCCTCCACATGCAGCCTTATGCAGGCCTTCAGTATGGGGTTGGGAGAATGGGAGGAAACGGTGGATTGTCCGGCTCCCACGGACTCGGAAGACTTGGGTGTCAGCAGGGTGGAAGGCCCCAGCCTCCTGTGGGTGTGCCTGGTGAGCTTGGTGCCTCCCTCTGTAGGCGACTGGGTGGTGGCCAGAATAGGGGGAGGGGAAAGGCACGTCTAAGATCCCATCCATTCCCAGTACCTCCTCACCCCAGGGAGTGCCACTGATTCCACAGCCTGCCCCTTCCCTGGGGTGTACAAGTCTCTCGGGCAGACAACGTATAAAGAGACCTGTCTCAACAGTCCCACTGCCTGATGCTAAGTGACACTGGCGTTGGGAAAGGGAAGGTCCCACAATGAGGACAGAATGCCCGGGCCCCACAGGGAGGGTTTTATGGTCTCTAAGAAGCCCAAATCAGAGTACCTCTTCAAAATCGCAGCTCCTTCCTAGCTCTTCATCTGGATTTTCTAAAAGATTTATTTATTTACTATGTATGCAGTGTTCTGTCTGCAAGTCAGAAGGGGACACCACATCTCGTTAGAGACAGTTGTGAACCACCATGTGGGTGAGCTCAGGTCCTGGGGAAGAGCAGTCAGTGCTCTTAACCACAGAGCCATCTCTCCAGCCCCACCTTATTTTTTGTTTTGTTTTTGTTTTTTATTTTGGTTTTACGAGACAGGGTTTCTCTGTATTGTTTTGGAGGCTGTCGGTCCAGCCCAGCCTTGAACTCACAGAGATCCGTCTGCCTCTGCCTCCCGAGTGCTGGGATTAAAGGCGTGTGCCACCACCACCCAGCGTCCACCTTATTTTTTAATGTTACATTTATTTATCGGTGAGAGGGAGGGGAGAAAGAGCAGCAATGCACTGTCCCAGTGCCCCTGTGTAGTCAGAGGACAACTGTGGGGGCCTAGATGTCGAACTCAGGTCATCAGGCTTGGCGGTAACTTCCTTTGCCCATGAGCCATCCGGCTGGCCCAGTGTTTCGTTTCTTAGCTGAAGTTTGACTTTTATGATCTTGCAGTCACTCATGTAGCTACTACTGCTCTCCTTGTCATGGCAGAATGCCCGGCACTAGTTTTGGCTCAAGGCATGGCATCAGGAGGGTGGGACAGCCCACTGCGTCTGTCCGTGGTCAGGAAACAGAGACATGGAAGTTGCTATTCAGCTGCTGTTTCCTTGCTGTGTAGCCCAGGACCCCAGCCTCTGGGACGCTACCACTCTCATCTAGGGTGGGTCTCCCCACTTCAACCACCCAGTCTTAGAAACTCCCTCCCGTCCAGAGGCAAACTGTCTTCAAGGCGATTCTAGACACAGGCTGTCATGTTGACCATTACAGTGACTGATGCCCATTTTACATGGGAAGAGAGGGGGCTCAGAGAGGTTGAAAACTTGCCTGGGGCACACGGGGAAATAGTGCCTGACCTAGAATTGGCTTGCCCACAATGCACACATATTTCCTGGGTGTCCATGACCATGAGCAGGGCAAGCTGCAGGCACTGGCGTCTGTCCTTGAAGCTCAGGCATCAGTGATGCGGGCTCTCCGGGACTCTGACACCCTTCCTCTGTGCAGGCTTTCTACTATGACCTGGACAAGGTGAGCCCGTGTCCCTGCATGGTCTCCAGAGTGGGTAAGACTGTCTGAGGTGGCCTTCCATCCCAGCTGCCCTTGGGCAGAACACTTGGGCTTCCTCTCATGTTTATAAACAGGGAAAAAGGCCTAACGTGAACCTCTCTGAGAACCGAGACCAGTGCTCTGATGCAGGGGAGGCGGTGGGGGGTTGGGAGCCTGGCAGCTTCCAAAGCAACTTTTCTTTTTTTGGGAGAAGCAAACACGCTTGGTAGAGAGACACATCCGGAAGGTGGAGTTCCACATCAGTAAGGTGGGTGTCTTGGGCATCACGGGGCATCATGGGGGGTGTCAAGGGGATTAATGGGGGCATCATGTAGGTGCCACGGGGAGTCATGTGGATATCTCTTGTGAGTCAGGGAGAGCCATGTGGTGTCACCGGACATCATGCGGGTAAGACAGGGCACGGTGGGGGTGTCATGAGGACGGTTGGGTGTCAGGCTGGGTGGTCACTGGTAGCTACAGAGTGGGTGGACAGTGTTACAGAGCTACAGTGACTGACAGGAGCTTAGTCCTGGGGTGGGGCTTGCCACTGGTCAGTACAGAGGGCTTGCTGCTTGGTCTTGGAACACTCCAACTGTCCCTATGTAGACAGGAAGGTAGAGGCTCAACCCACAGGGATGCGCCCACAGTCCCCTAGCAAGCCTGTTAGGCTTGCCTTCTCCTCCTCCCTCATCCTTCTTCTTCTGGAGACAGGGACTCACTGTGTAGCCCTGGCTATCCTGGAAGTCACAACACAGACCAGCCAGAACTTGAACTCACAGAGAACTGTTTGCCTCTCCTTCCTAAGTACTGGGATTAAAGCCATGCATCAACACTCTTAGCTTCCTTTAGGCTTTTCTTTTCTTTTCTTTCTCCCCTGGTTTCTCTGTATAACAGCTCTGGCTGTCCTGGAACTCACTTTGTAAACTAGGCTGGCATGGAACTCAGAGATCCGCCTGGCTCTGCCTCCCGAGTGCTGGGAGTAAAGGTGGGCACCACCATGCTCAGCTCGTTTGGGCTTTCTTAAAGTCAGTTTGCAAATGCTTCTATGAGCTCACCTTCCTCCCCAGACCCACAGGGTGGGCAGCTGTCATAGCTCACTTTGCATTCCACAGCCGGGACTCAGGCTGGTGGGCGACACAGTCACTAGCGTCTACTGTGCTAAGCGTGTGAGTGTCCTAGGTGCCGGGGTGTTAGGTGGTGGCTAAGGGCCATGAGTACCACAGGGCGAGGCTGGGTTAGGGGCAGTTCTTGGAGGGACAGATGGTGGGCAGGGGCTGTCCCTTGGAGTGGCCCACAGCCTGCGTGTCTGCTGCAGGTGGATGAGCTCTATGAAGGATATTGTATCCAGTGGCGTCTGCGAGATGGTGCCTCCAATATGCAGCGTGCCTTCAGCAACGGCACCCAGAGCCGCGCCTCCCGGGAGAGCCTGCAGGAGCTGGGTCGCAGCTTACAGGAGTGCATGGAGGTGGGCCAGCCCCGAAGTCTCTGCCCCAGCCCCTGGTCTGGGCTCCCAGTAGGCGCCGGGGCTGGCAAGTGACTGATCCACTTGCGGACCTTGCAGGACATGTGTCTCATAGAGGGGGCCTTGGAAGTTCACCTGGGCGAGTTCCATGTCAAGATGAAAGGTGAGCACCAGGCCAGGCCAGGCTTGGTATCGGTTCTTCCTAGCTGCCAGGAGAGCCTGCTGAGGGTGGGTGGTGCAGGCCAGAGCGCCAGGTTCTAGAGACCCAGCCCTGGCTGTTCACCTTGTGACAGGAGGTAGACTCATTGCCCTCCACTCTCTTGCCTGTCGGAGCCTCCAATCTTTCTCGTGTTTCCAGGCACACCCCTGTGCCCCGGGGTCCCCATGGTCCCTGGGCAGGGGTGGAGAGGAGACTAGCCCATTTCTGTGTTCCAGGCTTGGTGGGCTATGCACGCCTCTGTCCCGGAGACCAGTATGAGGTACAGCCAGGACGGTCCTGGGAGGGGGGCCCGGGCAGGCAGTGAGGGGATTCTCCTGGGGCTGCCTCTGCACCTCTTCCTGTACCTCACTCGCAGGTGCTCATGCGCCTGGGCCGTCAGCGGTGGCGGCTGAAGGGCCGGATAGAGCCAGATGACAGCCAGACCTGGGATGAGGAGGAGAAGGGCTTTGTGCCCACGGTGCATGAGAACCTGGAGATCAAGGTGGGGCAGGGCCCAGGGTGGGACCTGGCACCTGGGTGCTAGGCTCAGATGCCACCGTCCTGTCCCTCATGCCCAGGTGACTGAGCTCCGAGGCCTGAGCTCAGTGGTGGTGGGTGCTGTGACATGTGACATCGCCGACTTCTTCACAGCGAGGCCCCAGCTTGTGGTGGTGGACATCACTGAGTTGGGCACCATCAAGCTGCAGCTGGAGCTGCTGTGGAAGTGAGTGGTTGCCGTGTCACCCCTGTCCTCACCAAGGCCACCCCAGCTCCCAGTGCAGGGGGCCAGGTGTCCCCGGCTGCTCCCCAGGGGTCTGATGCACTCCAGACCTGCTCCCGCAGAGCCCTCTCTGTCCTTGCCCATCCTACCCCACAGCCAGGCTTGCCTGGCCTTACAGCGGGCCTGTCTCCTCCCCCATGCCTCCTGTGACCTTGAATTCTCACGTTTGGACACAGGACAGCACCATTGAGCCAGGACATTTCTAGGCACATTTTCTTGCTCAGTTCCTTAGGGGAACTCCCCTCTGCAAGCCTCCTCTTTACCATCCCGTTCCTTCCGGTCCTGGGCTGAACTGTCAGCTTGAGGCCCAGGCTCAGAACAGCCAGTGCTGGGTTTGGGGCTTCTTCCTGCAGAGTTTTTGTTGTCAGCACCTTGCATTTCCAGGGTGCCCCTGCCCTGCCCCCAGGGTGTCATGGCAGGGAAGGGAAGAGCTGAGAACATAGTCCAACCTAGTCACCTAGGATCCCTAGTAAGTGCATGCTACAACCCTAGACCAGTCACTCTTTTTCTTTCTAAAGATTTATTTATTTGTTATGTATACAGTGTTCTGTCTGCATTTATGCCTGCAGGCCAGAAGAGGGCATCATTACAGATGGTTGTGAGGCACCATGTGGTTGCTGGGAATCAAACTCAGGACCTCTGGAAGAGCAGTCAGTGCTCTTAACCTCTGAGCCATCTCTCCAGCCCCGACCAGTGACTCTTTAAGTCCCCGAGTCCTGCTGGCCACAGGTGCCCTTGGAGGGTGGAGGGGGTGTGCCTCTGGGCTCCAGGCCCTCATGGTACTTACCTCAGCTGATGGCTATGCTGCCTCCTTGGGTCTACCCTGAACCTTGCCCGCTATGCTATAAATGTAGCATGAACATCACTTCTAGCTGACATGAAGGCTTTTGGGATGAGAGAAAATGGGGTGAATTCAGTTCTGGCCCTGCTTACTGGAGGGGCCAATGGTCCATGCAAATGCCCTGTCTCAGAGCCATCATTTCATTCCATGTAAATAACCCAGCCACTCACCAGCCGGTGGGGTTGTGGGACGATAGCAGAGCTCTTACACACAAAGGTTACTTTGAAAGCCAAGGCAACTGGGTCCCATCTGAGTCCCTGTGGTCTCTATCTCCTCTGTAGCCCCTTGGACTCTGAGTGCAGGCTGGTGTCGCCCAGCCCCACTGGCAGGTTCTCCATAGGCAGCAGGAAGGGCTCCCTGTACACCTGGACACCACCTAGCACCCCCAGCTTCCGGGACAAATACTATCTGGTAAGCCGGTGTGTTCTCAGTAGGGTGAGATGCTCTGGGACTGGACAGTGAGGGGCCTGCTCGGGGCTCAGTCTCTGGGGCTACAGGGTTGTATGGCTCAATCTTCTGCTGCTTGAAGCCATGGGAACTGGGCTGAGTCTAGACCTGTGTGTGTGTGTGTGTGTGTGTATGTGTGTGTGTGTGTGTGTCCTCTGCCCAGACATGGTTGATTTAGAGCTCCCAGGAGTGTGATCTAGAGCCACGTACAAGAAAGCAACCTCCCCATCACCTCCAGGGCCAAGGTCCCCTTGGCGACAGGGCCACCATCTTTTCCTTGGGGGGGGTACTGAGAGGTGTGCACACAGGCACCCTCAGCATTTCTCTTGGTGATGTCCTTGGGATGTTCCCTCACTTACAGGGTCCATTCTTAACACCCCCCCACACTACTCCACACGTGACTGTGTGTTTACTCCACAGACATGGGGGTCACTTCAATGTGGTGCTGTGCCTGTCCACAGGTCACAAGCAGTCCTCAGCGAGAGTATCTCTCCTAAGCTTGCACCCACATCAGCACACAGGTGGGGAGATACAGAGCCTGGGCACAGAGACCAGAGCAGGTGGGAAGGGGACCACTGGAGCATTTGGGGTGTCCGGGGACATGTTCCCAGAGCATCTGAGTTGGGACCCTCAGTGTTGAGGGCATGTATGCGGTGTAGTTCGAGGCAGAGAGCATGGTCAGTGCAAAGGTCCTGAGGCAGGCACATGGCGAAGCCGGAACAATGACGTTGAGGCTACGGGGAGAGTTTGAGGACAGCTCTGGTGCCAGCTGCCTTGCCAGATCACCACCACCTGTGCACCTGGGCCCATAGGGTGTCAGCACAGTCCCGGGGTGGCTGCTGAGGTTGCTCTGTGTCCCCTCCCAGTCTGCCCTCCAGCAGCCAGTGCAGCAGGCCTTGCTGCTGGATGGGCCCAGGGCCACCTCCATCCTCGGCTACCTGTCTGACAGTGAGCTCCAGGGTCCCCGCCTGCGGAGCCGGAGCCAGGAGCTACTGGAGATGGACTCCTTCAGCTCTGAGGACCCCAGAGATACCGAGACCAGCACGTCGGCATCCACCTCAGATGTGGGGTTCCTGACCGTGCCTGTGGGACCCACGGCTTCCATAGAAGAGGGGACTAGGGAGGAGCCCCCACCCCTGGGCCTGCTGCCCAGCCTGGCTCACCCAGCTGGGGCTGTGCTTGCAGAACAGCCTGGCTGGAGGGACTTGGGAGGAGAGAGGGGGGCCCTGCTACAAGATGTCCCGGTCCAGAGCCCCACGATGCCACAGAACCGGAAGGGCCAGGAGGAGGAAGATGAGGGGGACGGAGTGGAGAGGCCTGTGCAGGAGGTCCTGGATCTGCTGCGGTCTGCTGACCCCACACAGCCCCAGCTCCGGGAGCTGGAGTACCAAGTCCTTGGCCTCAGGGACCGGCTGAAGGTATGCCCACCCTGCATGGGACAGCAGTACCACTTTGCTGCCGGCCTGAGGCCTGGGAGCAGGTGCAGGGCCCAGCCAGTCCACGTGAGCATCCCAGCCTCGCCCCTATGTGACCTGGGTGGGCGGAGCCTTTCTCGTCCACAGTCTCCTCACTTTCCAAGGCCCAGGAGAATACCAAGGGGAGGCCGGAGCGCACAGTGAGTCATTTGCTCCTCGTCCCATCAGAACCTGGCTTCACTGAGAATCTTCTGATGTGGGTGGGTGCTCAGGGCTGTAATTTAGGCTTCAGCTTTGGGCCGACAGAGCTGAATTCCCGGAAGGCTCTGCAGCTACCTGCCATCCTCATCTGTACGGCCACCCAGAACCTTCAGCCGCCACTCAGCCAGCGGACATTCTCTGGCCACCTGCAGGAGCTCTCAGAGCTGCTGGCCTGGACCGATGGCTTTGTTTCCATTTTTAAATATACAAAATGAAATTTAGACCACCCACTAATTTCTATAGGTGTTGAAGAGCCCATGCTTGGGGGTGACACATTTTCACTCAGAACTATCCGACGCAGACGTCTCCAAAAATCCTCTCTTACTATGATGCTGCTTTGTTTTGCTCATTCTCAGACTGAACCTCACAACATCAGCACAGCTGAGAGTGCCACTTCCCACGGTCCACCTAGCTCTTAAAGCAATCCACCCTGCCCCCCACCTTAAAAAGGCCCCACCCACTGCTCCAGGAACAAGAATTTGAGGACAAATGCCACCTTTATTTGTACTGTCCCAGTGTTTGTGTTTGAGTTGCAGTCACAGAGCTTCTGTTGCACTCCTGTATTTTGAAAAATCACACACACTCTGTATGACCCTGAATTACACAGTCATCCAAAACACCAAGAGACACTTCTCTTTTCTGGAAAACAGCTAAGGGCAATAAAAACAATGACAGGTCCCACCTTCAACTTGGATTTGAAAGGCAAGTCATCAAAGAGCACTCCTAGACTTCACTTCTAGACAAATGGTCTTGTCTTGCTAAGAGGCCCAGGCTGGCCTTGAACTCCAGATCCCCCTGCTTCAGCCCCCAGAGGCTAGAAGGATGGGTATGTGCCACCACATCTGGCTAACTTATGCACATTTATTACTATTTATGTATATGGTATTTGTGTGTACGCACATACATGTGTCAGGCGTTCGAGGCCAGGTGAGGGCATCAGATCCTCTGGAGCTGGACTTACAGATGGTTGTGAGCCACCATATATGTACTGGGAATCGAACCCAGGTCCTCTGCAAGAACAGCCAGTGCTTTTAACCACTGCACCATCTCTCCAGCCTCACACACATTTATAGATGCACGTGTATACAGCTACACACACACACACACACACACACACACACTCGCACGCCTGGGCACACAGTCATCCTCTCCCTCATTCTGAAACTCACATACTTTTGAAGACTCATGTTTAGCCCTGGGAAGGATGAGCGGGCTCTGCTGCTGTCGTTTTCTGAGGGAAAAAATTCCAAGTCACCCAATGTGTGCAGCTTGGGCTGAGGGCGGCTGAATGGCTCTGCCTCCCCGCACCTGCCATCCTTTCCCTAGTCACCGTCACACGCTCGGCCACCTGTGCCGTCTGTCAGGACTTCTGCTGTGTAGGGCTGGCTGTTCGTGGGCTCACAGTCCCACACAAGCCCTGGCGTGTCTGGTGGTAAAAACCCGAGATTGTTAGATGGGTCTCCTTCAGGCGGGAGGTGCCGAGCACCCGCAGGAGCCCAAGGGTAATGCCACAGCAGCACCTATTAAACAAGCTGTCTTTAGGGCTGGGGAGGCCATTCACTCGGCAGCGTACTTGCTGTGCAAACGTTGATGCCCTGAGTCCTCACCCCCAGGACCCACATAAAGAAAAGTCAGGCTTGACGGCAGGCACAAGCACTTCAGCTGGGGAATTGGAGACTGGAAGCTTCCTGGGGCTCAATGGTCAGTGTAGCCCAATTGGCAAACTCCAGGTCCCAGTAGGAGGGACCTCAAAAGCAAACACATTAAAAAAAAAATCCGGCCAGGCGTTGGTGGCACACACCTTTAATCCCAGCACTTAGGAGGCAGAGGCAGGTGGATCTCTGTGAGTTCGAGGCCAGCCAGGTCTACACAGTTAGTTCCAGGACGGCCTCCAAAGCTACAGAGAAACCCTGTCTCTGAAAAAAATGCAATGAAACAAGATGGACAGTTCTTGAGGCATGACACCCATGCATGGCCTCTCTGCACACACAAGCACACATGTACAATATGCACCCCCCACACACACACTGGAAAAATAAACAGTTTTTAAACAGAGGCACACACATGGGCCTTGTACTTGCTCTCTGGGAGTGTCCAATGTGGCCTAGGGGCCATGGCTCAGTGTTTGCTAATTTGCTGACATAACTACCTCAGTTGATAAGAGCCCACCTTGTCCATCCGTGTCTGTGCACATACATGCACACATGTGCTTGCGGAGTTTTGCTTTAGTGGAAGTAAAGTCTTCATGGTCAGGTCTGTTACTTCGTTGTGGCTGCTTTCGTTTTGTTTCGTTTTGTCTGGGGGCTCAGCTTCGAACACCCATTTCAGGTTTGCAGTCTTGCCAGGCTAGGTTTGGGGTGTGGTTGGTGCGGACTGAGGCCTGGCTACTGGATTGCAGAGGGACCCGGGCCTGCAGGCAGAGGTCTCTGGATGACTTGAGCGGTGGCAGGTCGTGGTTCCCACGTGCCTCTTCATTGACAGCCCACCCATCACCTCTGAATCTCCTTAGCGTGACCGTCAGCATGAGTACAGGGCAGTTTCTAGATTTGCTGAGAAACGAGCCACTGAGTCATTGGGCAGGTGTCAGCCGGGATGCAGTGGCGCCTCCTTGTGGAGGAAGTCCTGCCCTGCATGTTCCACACCTGGGCCTCTCTCCCTGCGGTTTGTCCCATGGCTGTAGGGGACAAACAGGTGAAGACTTTCGAGTCTGTCTCTCTGGTGACCTTCCTTTGTCTCAGGCCATGTTGGGGGGCACTGGAAGTGCCACCTTGCAGGCTCCGTCTGCTGGGCTGGCCTGTGCTGGGGCTGCCACATCCTGGAGGGCAAGGCCCTCATTCTGGTGCTTGTCCACAGCCCCGAGGGGTGCAGCTGGAGCCCGCGTCAGTGCAGAGCCTGATGGACTGTATCCTTGAGAGCTTTGCCTTTCTTAACGCCGACCTCGCCAGCGACGAGCTGTCCCTGTTTGGGGGCTCTCAGGCTCCTGAGTGAGTGCACACCACGCGGGGACATCTCTGGGCCGCTGTGGCTTCACGCTAGTCTCCAGTCCTTGTCCCCGCCACCTGTGGCTTTACTGTGCATGCTGCCTCTCTCCAATCACTGTCCCCGCATAGCAAGGCGTCATGACCACTGTGGGGACCTCGGGCAGTAACAGCAGCACACAACAAAACCCTGACCTTGACCTCAGCGGCTGACCAACCTCCCTAGTGACTGCCCTGCCCAGAGCTCTCTGGAGGCCCATCCACCCTTCTTACTACCTACCCTGGTGGCCCAGGGCTACTTCTGTCCCCAGACCCCAGCATTGCAGAAGGGACAGTCTCCATTTCTTCCTCTCATCCAGTGGTTCCCCAAGTGTGACGAGCCAGTTGGCCCTCGGTGGGGTTCAGCTCTGCCCTGTGAGCCATGCTATCCCCCCCTGAGTCTGGGCTTCCTGCCCATTTCACAGAAGAGCAAAATGAGGCTCTGGACACCCTGCCCTCCACACCTGTGTGACTTCAGCCAACTTTCTCCCCCTTCCCTCCAATGAACCCTGTACCTGGGGCCCAACTCTCTCATCTGGAGCTCCGGGATGGGGTGGGGGTGGGGCCAGGGCAGGGGTCCCTTTGCTAACCCAATGGTCACTCAGTTCTTTTGTCTCCTCAGGAGGGACAGCCCCCCGCCCCCTCAGCCATCACTGAAGGTGTCACCCAGCGAGCTCACTGCTGGAGCCCCTGAGCTGGACACGTTGCTCACTGCCCACCTTCGAGTCTGCAAGGCCTTGCTTCAGGTGTCTGGGTGGGGCCTGGCCTGGGTGGGGCCTGGGTTCAAAGGTGGCAAAAAGTCCACTGTCAGGTAAAAGGGGGCCACCCTGAGAGCCAATGCCATGAAGTTCTGTGGCAGGAGGGGAGGAACCATGTGGGTCTCAGGGAGCCAAGCTTTGAACCAAGTGGGCCGTTCAGGTGTACATGCCATACCAGTCCAAACTGGCTCAACCATAGGGCGCATCCAAGGTGGGGTTCAGGCTACACCACTCCCAGGGGTCCAAGTGCTATGAGATGAGCCTGGCACTCTTCCCACTGCCTTGTGACATGGGTGGGTTGACCCCGGGGACTCAGCTTATTGAAGAGGAGGATGCTTAGGTCATAGTCTGGAAGCCACATCTAGGACAGGGCAGTCGGATCATCCGGGAGCCGACACGTGTGAGACAGACTAACCTGAGTATCCCGGCTGATTCTAGAAGCTGGCCACCCCTAATCTGTCGAGGATGGTCCAGGACTGCCTCCTAGAGGAAGCAGAGCAACAAAGGCAGGTTCTGGAAGTGCTTTCCGACCTTGACTTTGAGCAGGTCAGCAAGGCCAGGTCGGTTGAAGAGAGTAAGTAGCAACCAGCCACAAGCCCAAGGCCTCGCCCCTCTGTCCACTGATGGCGTATTATGTGGGCTTGCACACCTGTGTCTCTGTATGCTGGGGAGGCTGCTGCCTGGGTCACTGAAGCCATTCCTCCCACACCCTGGTGTCTCTCCAAGGAGCAATGGCTTTCACCTCAGTTCTTTGTCTCCCCTTGTGGACCTCTCTGGAAGTCCAGCTTCCTATTCCTAGTCCATTAGGGTGGCTGTGAGAGAGGCTGACCTTATGAGTGGGGACATGGAAGGTGTCTGAAACCAACACTTCCCGTGGAGTGACACAGTCCTGACAGGAGGCCCTCGGGGTTTCCGGCCGCCCCTGCCCGAGCTGCTGAGCAGCTGTTCTCTCTCAGTCATCCCACAGGTTCCTCACAGGAAGGGTGGCCTGGCACTGTGGCGAGGCTGCACACAGCCTGGAGGAGTCCTGGCTTGCCCTGCCTCCACACTCCTCAGCCAGCTCAAGAAGATGTTCCTGCATCGAGTCCGAGGGAAGTACCCAGGCCAGCTGGAAATAGGTAGCGTCCTCCGTGCCTGCCCTGTCACAGGAACGGTGACGCTGCCCGTGCTTGCCCTGTCACAGGAACAGTGACGCTGCAACTGGGGTCTTCACTGCTCTGCCCCCTGGGAAAGCAGGCTGAGTCCCTGTGCCTCCCACCAAGCCTTGGGAGGTTGTTAGAGGAGGGTGTGCAGGCAGAGCCATCCAGGTGTCCTGAAAGCAGGCTGAGCCCTTCCTGAGGGCAGCTGTAGCGTTTCCCTGAGGAGCACATGAAGGGTGGAGCTCCAGACGGGGACATGTGAAGTCTGACAGTTCTTCCCATTGTCTGGGCGGCTTGCTGTCATCTGATTCCAGGGCTCTGGCTCCAGGACTCAGAGTTAACTGGCTAACAGTACATTTCTCTTCTCTGTCAGTTAAAGGATTAAGACAGGAAAACAGCCTAGAGCTGAGGACTTTATTTGCCAGAGCTACCAACTCCTGAAGTAGAGAAGGCTCTAGAAGCCCCAGTCTGCAGACTCTAAAGAGCCTCCCTGGGATCCTTTCCCAGAGTCCCTTTTAGCTGACACAAACCTGTTCATTGAGAGTCCAGATGAGACCTCAGCTCAGTCATGGCCCTTCCCTCCGCCAGTGTGTCGCAGGCTCCTGGAGCAGGTGGTCGGCTGTGGTGGGCTCTTGGCCACAGCAGGGCTCCAGGAAGAGCAGATGGTCACCTGGTTCCAGTTCCACAGCTATCTGCAGCGGCAGAGTGTCTCTGACCTAGAGAAACACCTCACCCAGCTCTCCAAGGAAGGTAGGGCCTGGCCACGGCCATGGCACGGAAGAAGGCGAGTTACGGCACACCCTGGGGCTTTGTCCCTTCTGGCTCAGGCTATGATTCGGATGGCATGCAGATTTCTCTCCACCCATAACAGCTGTGGAAGGGAAGTAAAAAGACCAGAGCAGCCCCAGGGGGAGGAGGTGGGAGCTGGGAACTGCGCTTCGGGTTTCTTTTTGAGTCAGGGTCTCCCTATGCAGCCTAGACTGACTTCAAACTCTCCATCCTCCTGCCTCAGCCTCCCAAGTACTGGGATTACAGGTGTTTACCACTTCGCCCAGGCTGACTAGTGGTTCTGTTCGTTTTCAGGGTGTGTCTGACCCACTTCTGTCTAAAGTGTCTGTCGGGACATGGTGATGCCCCTCCGTCCTGGAGTTGCCACTGTGGCTATGGTAGCCGAGCCCCCCCCCCCCCACTGATGGTCCCTGCCGCTCTCTTTTCCAGTTACTCTCATCGAGGAGTTGCAGTGTGCAGGCCCAGCCAAGGCCCTGAGGAAGCTGCACGGGAAACGTCTGGGCCAGCTGCAGCCCCTGCCCCAGACTCTCCAAGCTTGGGCATTGCTGCAGCTGGATGGACCCCCGAGGGTGTGCAGGGCTGCCAGAGCACGCCTGGCCAGCGCGGCCAGGAACAGGCGCTTCCGGGAGAAGGTGCGGTGCGCACACGGGCATTCTGGGGTGACGGGGCACACACAGCAGACTGGAGGATAAGTGCCTGAAGAAGCCTGAACCTGGAACTGGAACCACAAGGGTGGAGTCTCAGCCCTCCTAACACCGGGGCCCTTAGACGGCTCCTTGTGCCGTGGTGACCCCAACCCTAAAATCACCTAATCGCTACTTCACACCTGTCATTTTGCTACTGTTGAGTTAGTTGTAATGTAAATATCTAATATGTGACCCCAGAGGGGGTTGAGACCAACAGGATAAGGGATATACCCAACACCAGCTCACACCCTGCGCATGTATATATGTATGTATGCATTTATTTATTGATTGATTGATTGACTGTGAGTGCTGGAGGTCAGAGGGCAACCTGAGGGAGTCACTTTTCTCCCTCTACAACATGGGTTCCAGGGTTGAAATTCAGGTGGGGCTGGGGTAATGATAAACGCCTTTAATCCCAGCACCTGGGAGACAGAGGCAGGTGAATCGCTGTGAGTTCGAGGCCAGCCTGGTCTATAGAGTGTGTTCTAGGACAGAGAATCCTGTCTTGGAAAACAAAACCAAGAAAGCTTTGCAGGGTTCATTTACTAAGCCAGCTAGTAAACAATCTTCTGTTAGCCCACCTCTTGACAATACACCTGGACAAAGATTGACAGGTCTCACCCCACTGCAGCATCTGCAGTGTGTTTGACCCAGCTGGGGACCTGCCTGCCCTGACCTCTGTCCAATGCTGGTGTCTTCCCTCAGGCTCTGCTGTACTACACCAACGCCTTAAACGACAGTGATGCCAAGCTCCAGCAGGCGGCGTGCATGGCGCTGCAGCAGCTTGGGGTGAGTCTACCATCTTCCCTAGCGGTGAGCGCTGCAGCAGCAGCAGCTTCAAAATGCTTTCACTGGAACGGACAGGAATGGTAGACTGGTAGAGGGTGTCACCAGCAGCCAGAGGACACTAGTAACAGCCAGCCCCCAGACTCTAACAGCAGAGGTCCCCACACCAAGGGACTCCCTGCCCAGTTCAGCATGTTTTAACTACGTAAATGAGAAAAAGACAAAATAGGGAAATATGAAAGCTGCCTGTCACCCCAACCCCAACCCTCAGAAGTGACTGGCTACCTCTGACACATTTCCTTTTTGCTTCCAGGGACATGAGCACCCTGAAGAATTGCTATTAAACATGACTTTACAGTGCGCCAAGGCCTATGTGCCTACAAGCATGAGGGACTGAGTGGAATCCCCAGAATTCCAGAAAAAAGTCCCAAGTGGCAGCACAGGCTTGCGATTCAAGTGCGGGGAAGGTAGAAGCAGGGAATTCCGGGTCAGCTGGTCAGCAGGGAATTCTGGGTCAGCTGGTCAGCAGGGAATTCCGGGTAAGCTGGTCAGCCAGCCACTGTCGCTTATTTGTGAGCTCCAGGCTAGGAGAGACCCTGTCTTAAAACATGGTGTGGATGGCACCCGCACACTCTCATTTTGTTCACAATGTGTGTGGAGGTGTGCTGTGTATGTGCGCACATGCGTACTCTTCACAGTCACAGAAAAATGCAGTTTTCATGCATTGGGGGCAAAGAACAGCCAGGTGTGGTGGCACACACCCGTGACCCACTGTGACCCACGGCTAGCCTTGGCTTCATAGTGAGACCCTGTCTCATAACAAACAAACAAACAAACACCCCATGCATGCCACATCAGCACTTTTGTAAATAAGGTTTTATGAAAAGCCACACTGGGTTCCTGATCATCTTGCTGGACTAGATGACAAAGGTTGCTTCAGGGCCGGTGAACCATGCCTTCCCTACACTCCCTGCACTCTGGCGGTGGAGGTGAGGGGATCGTGTTAGTTCATCTACACCCATGCTGGGGATCCACCTTGTATAACCCTGTTGTCCACTTTGCATGGGAATTGGCTCAACACAGAGGAAACCTACCACCTCCCCTCGCTCACGGCTGCCCCAGGAGGTCCTGTGGGACAGCTGTTTGTGGATGTGTGGCAGTCAGGCCCTGGTTCTCCAGGGAGGACAGTCAGCGCTCAGCCAGTCCCAGAAGGCATCTGGGTTTGTTAGATAGTGTCGACAGACAAGCTCATGGCAAGGCCTGCACTGGGGTGTGGGAGAGACTTCCAACGGTGTGGCTGAAGGACCTGAGGCAAAGGAGGAAGCCGGAAGGCCCTAGAGAAAGGCAGACAAGGCCCCAGGAACCATGCCAGGGTCAGGATGGCAGTTAGGTCTGTCTGCTGCTTGACGAGCCCTTCTTCCTGACCTCACAGGGTAGCGAGAGTGTTGAGCAGATCGCCAGTCTGTGTGGGTCTGACCTGGAGGCCGTGCGAGCGGCAGCGCGGGAGGCAACGTTGTCGTTTGGTAAAGTGCAGCCCGCGGGCGGGGTCCCAGGGTCCCCTGGGAGACGGTGAGAAGAGACCACCTCCGATGTCAATACCGGGCTGCTGGGGACCCTGCTGCCAGCCCCCTGTGCTTTGTAGTCCCTGCTCAGTAGAGTCCCTTCACAGCAGGGTGACAGTCAGGGCGTAACCTTTTTATGCTTTGTTTACGATCCTTGGCAAATGGAAGGCAGGGGCAGAGCCAGGCCAGTGCCCAGGAGGCCTCAGACAGAGAAGGCTGTTCTGGCTGTGAACAGTCTTCAGTCAACAGCAGGGGCAGGAGACTCCCCCACCACTACTGCCCTGCCTCTCTAGAGATCCGAGACCCGGCACAAAGCGGAATAGTGACAGGCACCGCTGTGTTCCAGGTGAGAAAGGCCGCCTAGCTTTTGAGAAGATGGACAAACTCCAGTCAGAACAAGACATCTACCAGGAAGCAGATGTTGAAATCACAATTTTCTAAGAAGCTATGGCACGGCCAGTGAGCTCCAATACAGCACCTCTCTTCCTCGAAGCTGCCCAGCTTCCATAGTGCCCACGTCTTGGGTGGAGCACCCTAGGCACTCCCTCACAAGTATGAGCTGCTCAGGATGGCTGCCTGAGACTTGACTCAGTACCCAGCCCAAGGGCACAGTGGTGTACTCAGAGCAGGAAGAAGTGGCGTGTGTGGCCTCCCCCAAATGCTGCTTTTGCCTGTTGTGCCTTCCTGGGGTGCAGTGTCAGGGGTAGCTAGCACTGGCTGAGACCAAGGGTCTAAGACAAAGTGAGGTTCGAAACAGACACATTTGGAATGTGAGTTCCCCACACACGCTGAACTGAGGCAGAACGGGTCTGATAAACATGGGCTGAGACCGATAGCCGGTGGCGGGCCCACTTCTGACACATGACAACCTGTGGCCATTAGATGAATTGCTTCAAAAGCCAGAGCTGAGGTGAAGTCCACTGAGGTAGCTATGGAGGCACACGAAGTGTTTCCACCGCAGTAGGAAACCATTCAAAACCATGCGTCTGAGATGTCCACAAGGAGTGGGGTGACTCTCGGGGCTGACTTAAGACGCAGCAGTTAGAGTCATGTGGACGTGTGTGCTGACTTATCTTGGTTATTTATTTGCCTCATTCATGTCCATTTTCTGAAATCTCAATTAAAAACTGCTCAAGTACATAAGGTTGTGTCCATATAGCCACACAGGAGAGGGTGGCCAAGGCCCATCGGGGATCCTGCCCACACTCCTCTGGGGATACTCTGAAGACACCCCAGGCCTTTGCCAAGCCTTTACCTCACTGGATTTGTCCCAGTTACACATCATGCTGATGTGACCTGTGAAAGTTCAGACACCACCTTCCATAGCCGAAGCTTTCAGTCGGACTGTAGACACGGCACTTCCATGGTTCTCTGGCTCCTGGACCACAGTGGGGACCACTAACTGCACAAGCAGTGGGAATCCCTGAGAGGTTCAGGGCTGTGCTTGCTCTCTGTAGACCAGGCTGGCCTCGAACTCGAGATCCGCCTGCCTCTGCCTTTCTGAGTGCTGGGGTTGGAGGTGTGAGCCGCCACTGTAGGGCTGTGCTGCCTACTACATCCGTCACTGCAAAGTCTGACGCGAATTTGAAACAGTCACCTGGGGACCCCACATGCTTAGTCTTGCACACCAAAGGGAGGTCACGCTACTTTTGGGGTCTTATTTCCATTTCTGTCAAGTATACATAAATGTGACTTCATGGATGTCCTGAGATATGTATGACAGGCAGCTGGATGAGGCGCGGTTTGGAGCCTGAGACAGGGATTCCAGTGACATCCAAAGGGTGAGTTCCTGAAAGAACGGTGCGGAGGCCCCGAGGACCCAAAGCTCTGCAGCAAAGGCAAGCTGGCCAACCGCTGGCACACACAACCCAGGGCATGCTAACCCTGCAGGGCAGAGATCTACTTCATGCAGGGAAGGACAGACGGTGGCCCATCCTGGCTCAGGTCCATCAGGTAAAGAAATGGGAAGCATTTCACATCTATGTTCTTTAAAAACATTTATTGTTGCAACTAAAATGCAGACCCATTAGTGATACGGCAAGTTGGAAATGGTGCAGTCCGACAGTTCTGTGAGGTCACAGAAGACCCTGAGACACCCCCACCGGGGCATGCACCACCCCACACACCTGCAAAGGTACTCTACCGGAACTGTTTTTTATTTTTGTAAAAATGGTTTATTCCATGGCCATTAAAAAACAAAAGGACCTGCCGAGTAAATATTGGCTTAAGGCATACAGCCGCTCAGCTTGCTACCTCCAACGCAGGCGACGGGGCGGAGAGCGCCTGTTCTCCAGGCCATCCATCTAGAAGGCTACTGTACACACCCCACTACTATAGACACAGCCCACAGCTAACTGCTCCCAGCCTGGACCCTGGCTGTGACACCTCCCCAGGCTCTGCAGGCAAGGCCACCACCATTCCCCAGTGGCTCTGTGCTGGCTTCTCTGGGTGAAAGGCAAAATGTGAAATGCTGGCAAGAGGCAGTTTGGAGCTCCAGCTGCCTTCGCTTATTTTTAAAAAAAGCCACCCAATGTGGAGGTCTTAAGTACCCTCACAAGAAGAGTCATAAGCACCATCGTCAGTCTCCGCCAGGCTCAAGAGTGGCACACCTCTGGGCAAGGTGACCTGGGCCAGCGATGACAGCAGGCTGATTCTAAGGACTGCCACCCAGGCTGTTCCCAGGAGAGTGCTTCCCACAAGCTGCCTTCTTCCAATCCTGGCTTGCTCCAGAAGAGCATGAACTTGGAATGGAGGGGCTGATTCCAGAGGTGGAAGGGCCCTGCTTTCCTAAGTGTCCAGGGAATGAGGTGTGACTGTGGAATGTCTGAGGTGTGGTGGGGCTCAATGGGGCAGCCAGGGAGCCTGGAGTGCCTGCCAGGAGTGAGGCAGGCTCTGCCCTGGTCAGCACTGCCCCACAGAGTGGTGGTTACTCAGCAATGGCCACGTCTGGTCAGAGGGTGCGGAGGCAGCTGGACACAGGTTGTCAGTGAGTGCGCATCTAAGTCCCCAGGTCAAGCACATGGCGCCACCAGGGCAGGAGACTTCCTGCTTTCTAATTCACAGGGAGGAGGCGGCTGGGAACGGGGTCTACAAGGTCATGTGGAGAAAGCCCAGTCCTCACCCTCACATCACATCAGCAGCCACAGGGCCTTTACACACCACCACACTGTCGCATGTTCCTGAAGATCGCTCACATCACCCACCCTACAGCACCTGGCCCTGGCTGCACAGTGGCTCCCGTCAGTCTTGCATTCCCGGCCCAACCCCAGGAGCCATCTGATACAGTACTTGACAGAGCCCTGGGCACCAGGCTGACATGTTGCGCTATCAGTTTAAGGGCATGCTCATGCAGCGGGACGCCTTTGGAGAGGTGAATAAATACGAGTGGAGCAGTGTCTAGGGAGGGCGGGGCCTTGGCCAGCCATGAGCCAGCGCCCTGCTCCTGCCGTGCCTGCACTCCTCACAATGGTGTGGGCTTGCTTTTCCCGGGAGGAAGCAGGTGGATAAAGCAGAAAGGGAGCTGCATGGTGAAGGAGGCGGTGGCTCTGTCTGTGCAAGCATGCTTTGCAGCTTGCTCTGCAGGCCAGTGGCCCTTCCTGCCCCGGCATGGCCGCTGTGGCCTGCAGCTGTGCTGCCCCGGCATGGCCGCTGTGGCCTGCACCTGTGCTGCTGGACAGCAACCAAACATGCCTTGGATGCAACCACAGCGCCCACTTCCCCACAGCCTAGCCACACCAGTGCCGGAGGCAGCCATGGCAAGTTCTCAGTGGTGTTTTGAGTCCTGCCTCTGAAAATCACCACTCAGGAAAGTCTTTGCACTTTGCAAACATTATCTGATGCCTTCAAGGATGTTCCTGGGACAGGACTGGATGTTTCAGAGGTTGGTAACAGTCATGGGAAGTGGCTTCCAGGACACCAAGGCTCCTTCTATCGCTCATGCTTGCACTCAGCAGCGAGGGTTCTACACAGTGGTGCTTACTTCCCAAATGAAATGGAGACCGCAGGATGAGTGCTGGCAGCCGCCTAAGGTGAACTGAACCCTGAGACAGGGCCCTTGGGGAATCCCATCAACGGGTGGGATGGTGAGGGTGCGACATCAGCAAGATGGCTGTCACAAGGACGGGGTCTGGAGGGGGTGCAGCAGGGACACCTGAGGAAGCAGAGCTGGGCTCGCTGTTTAGAGCCAGCCTGTGCTGTTGCTCTCTTACAGCAGGGTGGCTTCGGGCATGTGCCAGCTCAGGGTACACAACGGGGGCTGTCCCAGCCAGCAGGAGCTTTTCATTCCTGACCGTTTGGGATCCTTCCCCTGGGAAGTCACTGTAAATTATGGATCTGATTTTACGCCAAAGGGCACAAAAGAATGCCATCAGTGCCTAGCGTCTTTTTTTTTCTTCCAGAAATAACAAAAACCTGCCTTTATAAATGTTAAAAACAACAATGTGTTGTAATTTTTTCCCCAAAAACAAACGAGCAGAGAAAGAAAGGGGGAAGAGTGAGGTGAGCGAGCGAGCGAGAGAGTATTTGGCATTTCCTCCACTTCTCCTCAACAGGTTAAGGCCCTGAGATTAGACTGTTCTTGGGACCATGGGGCTCCTACAGAGCCCAGTGCACTGACGCCCCTCCTGGGGCCGGCCCTTCCAGTTCCACCGCAGGGTCGCTAGCTGTTCCCCTGCACCGGGTCAGACGCCGCAGACCGAACCCTAAGCCGGGCAGCAACAGTGCTCACCGCACTCATGCCTCCAGCAGCCGTCAGTGAAAACAGACCCGGTAGCAGAGGTATGCGCCAGTCGCCAGCACCGTGGCCATGCACACATTGACCAGGAAGGGCTTCCAGTGAGTCGCCCAGTGTGCCTTTTGTTCCTCCTCCGCTGGGGACAGCTCTTCCTTGGTAGGAACAGATGCCTGGGCACCTTGAAGACCTCCACCCACCATCCGTTGTCTAACTTCAGTGTCTTGACTCACGCTGGGGAGAGGGAAGAGGCAGGTTACTTACTCACCCTGAGAGGATGACACGGGTGCGCTCACCACGGAGGGACTCTGCAGAAACAAGCCCCTGTGCTGTGCTGGGGGCGGGAGGGCCAGCACAGCTGCAGCCCGCTTGTCTTCCTGCCCTGGGGACCCTGCGATACCCGCAGCCAGGGCTGGGTTTCACTCAAAGTCAGCCAGCAGCCCTCAATGTATGTGTTTTATCAGGAATGGACGCTCCCAGCTCTAGCCAAAGATGCCCTCAGCTCCATATCCCAGTTGCGGGAAACATGGCTTCCTTAGTCTCGGCACACTGGTAGCTCCGCACCTTCTATGGCCAAGGATGCTACAGTGAGGGCGGCTAGCTATGCCTCTCCACGCTGTGTTCAGAGCTCTGGGTGGGTCCTAATGAGAGCCAGACTGGGTGTGCCCACACCTCAAAACTGCCCTCTAGGAAGGAGACAGCTGTCTCAGGAGCTGCCTCACTCCCGCTGGGGTCACCACAGAGTCACTCCCTGCAGGCACACTCTCTGCTCTACCACATAGTGCTATGAGCGCGCCCCTTTCCCCACACGGAGGCTGGCAGCACAGATCCTGGGCATGGCCTATTATCACCTCAGCACTCCACGGTATTGGTGGGTGTTCAACAACGCTTGCGCCAGGGTAAGCAAGCATGCTGTAACACCTGCCCAGTTTCAGCACTGAGCAGATCACACAAGCACCACAAGGTGGCACTGAAACCCCATTACAACCTATCATTGCACAGGCACACCCAGGGACAATGGGCACTTTCTGCCAGGATAGAGGCAGTACTGTTTCTCATGCATGCACAAACACCTCTTGTACCTCAAGGTTTTCAGTGGCTGCGTGTGTTAATGGACAGCAAGATACTTCCTTTCACCCCGCACCCCACCCCAAGCCAGGCCCTCCATCACCTGTTCATGCTACGCATGGCACTTGAGGGGTCTCTGCCTTCCTCCCTGGCCAGACTGTCTTCACTCTCACACGCCTCCTCGCTCACCCACTGGTGGTTGGAGAAGAGTTCCTTGCACTTCCCATTGTGAGGCTCCAGAATGCGTTTGGGTGGCCGGGGAGGTGGGGGGACATGCTCGGGTGGGGGCTCCAGGTCCTCGTGGGAGAGCTCCTTCCACTGATCCTGGGAAGCACAGCAACAGAAGCTATTAGCACTTGCTCTGGGTCTCCTCAGCAGCAGCTCTGGGCTCCTTGACTCCAGGCAATTATTTGGAAGGTAAACTTGTTCTTTGTGAGGTAGGTAGGTAGGGTCTCAGGTGGCCAGGCAGGCCATGGATCCCTGCTGTCTTCCCTCCATTCCCAAAGGGCTGGGACCACATTCTGGGGCAAGGCACAGTTTTTAGGGAACCAAGCAGCCTGCTCTTCCCTCAGGCTCTGCAGAGTAGCTGGCAGCAGAAGGGAGCTACTCCCTTTAGCCTTTAAGAGCGAAAGCTCCTTCCAAAGCTCAGAGCCTTGATGGGCATGCACAGGCTCTAAGGCCCACCCCCAGCTAGGAACCGTGTCCACCAAAACACATATGCTAAGCAGGACAGCACTGACCTGCACTGAGGAGTCACCTATGATAAACACATATGCTAAGCAGGACAGCACTGACCTGCACTGAGGAGTCACCCATGATAAACTTGGCTCCCTCGATCACAGCCAGGTAGGAGAAGCGCAGCTGGTCGGCTGTCTGGATGAGCCCCATGCGGAACCTGCGCATCTCCAGAAGTACTTTTTTGATATCCACAGAAGAGGGGTCTTTCCTCTTGTCCATCTGCAAGCCAGGGAGACTGTGTCAGTCAGAGGAAAGCCACAGAGGAGTGGTGGAGGGACTCAAGGAAATGGGGGAAAAATGCAGCAAACCCATTGGATCAAGCTGGAAGAATTTAGAAAGGAGCTGAGGGGCTTCTAGGCTGCCTGGCTCCTGTGACAACAGGTGCACCCTGTGAACAAAGCTAGATGGCAAAGGTCACACAGAGAATCCCCCAGAGAAGGGTGCCCATGGACAGTGACAGGAACTGCAGCCAGCAGGGTGGGTTCAAGCATGCTTCCTATCTTCCTGGGCTTGCAAAGCCTCCTTACCAGCAAGAGGCAGGTGTCAGCCAGACAGAAGGTTCCCGACCTGCCGATGCCAGCACTGCAGTGTACCACGATGGGGCCATACTCCGGGCTGAGGGAGCCTGACTCTCGGACTTTGAAAAGGAAATTGAGGAAGGAGGCAGGAGACTCAGGGACTCCAAAGTCAGGCCACGTGGTGTAGTGGAAATGCAGGATCTCCCGAGACTCCTGGGTCTGAAAGAGAGAGGGACCTGCAGTTAGGCTGAGTGCATCATCTGCTCAGGTCTCATGTGAGCATCAAGTGACTTCCTGCCCAGCCTTCCTCACTGAGCACTGGCTCGATCTGGCCACAGCCTTAGGCAGTGGACAATCCTTGTCTTTCTGTCCCGTCTACGCCCATGCACAGGTGGCCACAATTGTTTTAACCTAAAAGTCATCATGATGCCACTGGCACCCTAAATCTCAGAAAGGCTTCCTGTGGGGGGATGGGGGAAGTAGCAAGCACAAGGTCCGGGTGGCTTGGGGAGACCACTGGGATGGTTCGGGCAATTGCTACTTTGGAAGAAAACGTGATTAATTCAAGCCTCCAAAGACGGATTGCCAAGAAGACAATTGCCATACAGGTGCAGCATTAGCCACGACTCCAGTAGCAACTGCCTGGGGTTTGTCATGCCCTCATTCACCTCAAGGACCACACCCACTTGCAGAACTGTCTCTCAGTGCCCTGCAGTTGAGCAGAAAGGATGGCCTCCAGAAAGGATGGCCTCCAGCACTGCTTCACTCTGCTCTTTCCTACATGATGCAGCTTTTGGTGTTGTTTTGTTTTTTTGAGACAGGGTTTCTCTGTATTGTTTTGGAGGCTGTCCTGGAACTCGCTCTGTAGACTAGGCTGGCCTTGAACTCAAAGAGATCTGCCTGCCTCTGCCTCCCGAGTGCTGGGATTAAAGGCGTGCGCCACCACTGCCCGGCGATGATCCGGTATTTTTACAAATGCTTGTTTGAGGGTGAGGGGTGCCACATGTCGTGTGCACATCTGGAGGTCAAAACAGACAACCTGTAGGGTCACTAGCAACGCCTTTAAACACTGAGTTACTGCACTGCTTCACGGCCCAGCGTTCTTTCTTTCTTAAATAGACAGGGTTTCTCTGTGTAGCCATGGCTGTCCCGGAATTCACTCAGTAGACCAGGCTAGCCTTGAACTCAGAGATCTGCCTCCTGCCTCTGCCTCCTGAGTGCTGGGATTGAAGGTGTGCGCCACCACCACTCAGCTACAGTCCAGTATTCTTAAAGGAGGCCACTGTAGACAAGACCCCAGAGGGCAGGTCCCCAGAACTACAGAGAGGGCCAGCAGCCCATGAGAGAACAAGATGGGGTACAGAGGCCCAGGCTAGGCCTGGTGACACCAAGGTGCTGTCTGTAAAGTCAGGAGGTCCCTGCTGTGGTACAAACACAGTGAAAGATATGACCACCCTCAGTGTGGTTACTAGACAAGGGTGTTGGGCACAGCTGGACAGCTTTGCCCACTGCCCTGCAAAAGTCAACATCTGTACTCAGTGCAGGGAAGGAGGAGCTTCAAATGTATTTTAAAAACTGGTTTAGGAGAAAGTATGCAAAGAGTCTTCTTCTATTCTCTACAAAGAACATGGGATTCCTCTCCTACCACCCTCCTCCTACCTGCCCATCCCTTCAAAAAGACTCTGTTCCAGGCCCCAGAAAAGTCCTAACGTTGAAACCTTGAGCTGGCCTTATGTCTTTAATTCCAGCACTTGGGAAGCAGAGACTGTAAACGTGAAGCCAGAATGGGCTACTAGTGAGACCTGTCTCAATACAAGTAAACCAACCTGGAAAGCAGCAACCTTAAACAAAGCCTAGGCACTCCTGCCCTTGCTCTGCCACGAACAAACTTGTAGTGCTTGCTCTGAATCTGTTTCCCTCAAGCAGCAGATGGTTCCCAGAGATTATCAGTGGCCAGTCTTAAAGCTAGGCTAGCAATACTGGAAAGCATTAGACAGGGTCTATGTACTCCCCCCACCCCGTGACATTCCAGAGCTTCAGGGATCTCATCCCACGCTCCAGATTCCTCTGCTTGGCCATGACAAGGCCTCACCTCTCCATACTCCAGCAACTTGAGTGAAGTTCAGGAATTGGTCTTACCATGAGCACGGAGCCATGAGAAATCTAAGGCTATGTTACAGACACTCTGCAGCAGACCCAATCCTTCCCTATGGCCCAACAAGCCTCACTCCAGTGGTCTAGTCATCACCACACCTCCCCTTTGCTCTCTGGACCCCACATATCTTTTAACCTCTCACCCATGACTTCCCAGAACCCTTGCAAGCTGGAGTCTGAAACAGAAAAAGCAAAGACATGGGGAGATGTACCTTGGTCCTACACTAGCAGTTAGGCAAAGCGGGCCAACAGCTCTGCTATGCCTGAGACCCATATGGCCTCCTCAGTCACAGCTCTGTACCACAAGCAGAGCTTCTATTGCTCCTAACTACAGGGTTTTGTCATGCCAGGACCTCCTCTTAGTAGCAAGTCCACCCAAGAACTGGATAGAAAGTCTCAGCTGCAGGAGACTGGGCAGTGGGGTGAGCTTCCTCCTTCCGGCAGACCAGACAATGAGGAAGGTGCAAGCTTGCTGTCACTTCTCTTGCAGGCACTGCTTCAGCCCTCCAGTCCCACAGGCAGAGCAGACCACGCTCAGCTAAGAAACCGCTTTTCCCCTTAGAACTGTGTTGACTGGGTACTGGCTCCTGTAGCAGCAAGCCCTGCTTACCACGGTGTGGAGCCACACTGTGCACAGGGCTCACAATTCCTGGGACACTGTAGCTGGAACTAGCACCTGAGAACTGAGGACGGAAGCAAGCCAACAATTTCTGGAAGACTTTGCACACGCCATACTTACGGCCAAGTTTTCCAACTCCAACTGTCGCACTGTGTAATATGACTTGACATCTTCAGAGATCAGTGTCAATTTCAAATTTGTGTCATCAAAAACCATCTCCTTTTCTTCTTTCTGTGGCCAATACTGGGCACATTTTAGCTGGGGGAAGAACAACACTAGATTACTCTGAGAGGCTGCTACACGAGACAGGAGCCTTGGAGAGCGGCCTGCTAGCTTTATGATCACTCAGACGCCGGGTCTCCCTGTCAGTATAGCTCCTACCCTGACCTGGTAGCTCTGTGGCAGGGCTCACACTTCTCACCCAGCAACAGCAGCAGGCACAGAGGGCTCTGGTCCTTGCCATGAAGTAAAGCCACACCACACAGAAGTTGTGCCCCTCATAGATGCCTTCAGTATGACCAGAGCTCCACGAGGAAACCCACAGCCACAGGTGGAGGGTTGCAGCCTTGTCAGGCTGAGGGGCTGCAGCCAGCTGGCTAGAGGTGGGAGGACAACTTGGAGGGTGCAGCTCACTGTTCATTGCACTCGGGTTGATCTTGACCCACATGCTGACAATTACAGCTGTTGGTGAACTCACAGACTTGGTCTGCGAATTAGGAGCTGGAGCTGGAACTCCGTCTCACAGGCCCTGTGAACTAGGCTCAGGTGCTTGTATGGTCCTGTGGCAGGCAGGCAGCGGTTCTGGCTTCCCAAGGCAGGACAGACAGGGTGCCTGGGCGGAGGAGACCCCAGAGACCTCAATCCTCCCTAAGGAATGCAGTGAGCTGCTCTTCAGAACAGAACACAGAACTCACATGCCTGACCTGTTACAGGGCTGGCCCAGTCTGCTGGGACAGATGCTCCCTCTCTGGGGTGGGCAGATGGGGAGAGCATGGAAGGGAGACACTCAGACTACACACGACCCAGGGATTCGGAGGAGGGGATGCTTAGGCTAGCCAAGCAAAGCAAGAGGTCAAAGAGGCTCCTTGGAGAGACGCTTCTGATGGTGACAGGTTAGTGTCTCAGGGGAAAGCAGGAGGGCCGGAGCACAGTGGGGCTGGAGCAGTCCAGAGGCCTGAGACATCATCTGGGGCTGGCAGGAGCCAAGGCTGAACAGAACTGCAGAGGCCTATTGGTCCCGCTCTTCTGCGGCTCAGTGTTGCCCCCCCCCCCCAACAATATAAAAGGTAGAGGGAACAGTGCCGGAAGCAAGGGCCTTACAAGGCCAACAGGGAAGGAGCTTTCCATCCCAGGACAGAAGCCCAGAGGGCTTTCTCAAGGGCTTGGTTTTAAGGTCTGGCCTGCTCAACCCATGGCCCATCCCACCTTTGAAAACCAGCTGGAGAGGCGGGCCCCTTAGCTAGAGCCAATCTGTCAGCATGAGAGCAGATCCTGACATCCTAACACAGAGGCAAGGTGCCAATGACTGTGCACGGAGAGACTTGATCCCCACAGTCAGATCCCAGGCCACCGCCCTAGGGTGGGCACTCAGCATGAGCAAGGAGAATGCCAAGGGGCTGTCAGTACAGAAGAGGAGGTGGCAGCCTCACCCTAGAGGCAAAGCGGGCAGACTCTAACCTTCACTTCCACGGCACAAGCCCAGAGCAAGCCTACTCTAAGCAAAACCTGTGAGTTCAGAGGCATTCTGGCACACAGCCAAATGTCCATCAACCAACATTTAATTAGGTGTCTATAGGAATACACTCAACTCTGTCATTTCCCATAAAAATTTCTGCTTGAAACAGAACAAAACAAAACAGCACACAATCCCTATTTCCAGTTAGCTGGTGGCACTCGCACACTGCCTTGATCGGAAACCTGACTTTTACCGGAATGTGAGCAGGCCATCTCTGGGTCTGACACCAAGGCCCTTTGGCCAGCCCCAGACAGGAAGGTGGCAATGTCAGTATGCTGGCATCCCAAGTTTAATAGTCATTTCCACCATGAAGTTTGAAGTTTAGACAACAAAGAGTCAGGCAGTCTGAGGAAGAACTGTGACGCTCAGTGCTGTCTCTCTGACAGGGCGGCTTGTTCTCATCTCCAAAGCATGCTAATACTGACAAGTGAGCAGGTCCCAGAACTAAGGATCCTGGACTATCAAGTGCCTAAACCCCAACTCTGGCTACCACAGGGGTTTATGAGAGAAAAAGGCTGTGCTCTGGAATACAAATTATATTCCCCTAGCTGCCTCCCACTGTATAAACCACAAACAGCCCTGCACTTACACACAGCACAGACCATATTGTCGCGGCTAAGGTTAAGTTTCAAATTGAAGTAACAAGAACTCTGGCCACCCCTGGGTCACCCCAGTCTAATGCACACGGCCTATAGCAGAGCTGGCTTCATAAGCACCAGGCACACGTACCAAAGGCAAGAGGGCAGCTCCTACATGTCTGAGAGGAAACAGGACAGAGTGCACGCGCGGTCCTGGACGACTGGGGATGGCTGGGACTAGGTGAGCGGAGCGGCAGCATGCACCAGCCCCGCACTCTACCCTCGGGGGGGCTGCTGGTGACCAGCACACTGGTGTGCATCCCACACGGAGCACACTGTCCAATGACCCTCAGTGGAAAAATCGCTTAAAGGACCCCTGCCATGCTGCCATGGGAAAGAACAACCAGCTAACACAGGACTCTTGGGGAAGGCGGTCATGGTGGGGATACTTATGGTAAGCCCAGGGTGCTGATAGCCAGGCCTGGTGGCAGTTATTCAACTACAGAGCAGTCACCATTCCTTATACTGTGACAACAGCTGCTAATGCAAACTGGTAACTACACGGAGCCAAAAGGACCCCTAGCAACATAACTTACATGTATAAGCATGTACACAGCATGCGTACCCTTACACACATGCACAGTAAGCCCTGCCATATCTGCTGACTTATAAGAAAAGATTTAATGTTTTATTTACTTTTTATATGTATGGCATTTTGCCGGCACATACGTCTGTGTGCCATGTGCTTGCCTAGTACCCATGGAGGTCAGAAGAGGTTGTTGGAACCCCTGGAACTTGAATTATAGGAGCGTGTGAGCCGCTGTGGGTGCTGGGAATGGAACCTGGGTCCTCTGCAAGAGCAATAAGCAGTCTTAGCCATTGAGCTCTCCCTCCAGCCCCCATATCTGATAATTTTGCGATAATAGGCTGATTTAAAACTCTACCCTCTGGTTTTGCCAACTGACCACACTGGCTGCCCCTGCATCTGTTATTACCATGTCCTACTAAAAACGGGAGGTGGAAGCTACCAGGAGTGACTGGGACCCTTGTGCTCTGCGGGGTGTGTGTGTGTGTGTGTGTGTGTGTGTGTGTGTGTGTGTGTGTGCGCGCAACTTGCTTGTCCTCATTCTGTGCACCTGGTCCCACCCTCGGGTGACTGCTGTCTCTGGAGGGGATGGAAGGATTCTTTGGCAACCTCATGCTCCTGAGAGCAGCAGTGAACAGTCCCCATCTGAGTAACAGACAGCACAGCGCCTATGCCTGGCAAGGCCTGGGGACATCCTGCTCTCTGTTCCTGGCTATTGCCCAGCTGGTCCCACAATTCTCAACTCATCTTTTCTAGGGACCTCACCCTCTGGAGCTGGAGAGTCTTAAGTGCCAACCACATCCAGGGAGGGAAGAGAGAGGTTCCTGGCTCTGCCCCATGCTGGTCTTAGATAGCACTCAAAAGAAGGGCCCAGGTAGCTGGTCCAGTCACTCAGGGTCCGCAGGCCGGTTCAATGACTACCCTGAGAGGTGAGCATGAGTGTACTGAGACCCGAGTGACACAGGCCACTTTGGAAGTGTGAGACAAGAAGGACTGAAAGCGGCAGGCCGAGGGACAGGGGCTGCCGAAGGGACAGAGCCTGAGGGGAGATGGTTCAAGAGCTGAGAACTTAGTGCCGCGTGCCCTGAAGCCAACTCACCAGCAGAGGTTATGGTGGACATGAAATCTGGAAGCTGGTGTCCCCCAGTTCCGCAGTGTGACCAGCCACAGGTGGCCTTGGTAAAGACACACTACACAGGTAGTACAAAGTAGAGTCACTAAGGCAGACGGCCTGCATCAGGCTCCACAGCACCTGGCCTGCTGTTACTCCCTCTAGTCATACTTGCTTGTTACTTAACGTTTGCCTTTTTTAAAATAAAAAGGTGTCATGTAAAGGAGTTAGGAAACAGTAACTAGGGTTAGGGGAGCTTTATGAACTGTGTATGCAGACAGCGGCAGCAAGGGGCTATGGTGTGAACTTACCGACCCTTTCTCCATGATGCGGTTGAGCATGACCACACCCCTGCTCTTCTGCTCCCACACCATCTCCCAGAAGTGCCCACATGTGTTTGGCAAAGGACCCTGCAAACACACAAGATACACACTGTACAACATGCAGTCATTCAGCAACAGTGCTTGCAGGTTCAGGCAGAATGGCTACCAAGGCAGCCTGTCCTGTGGTCAGTCACCCAGACCACATCCCATCATGTGGTGAAAGGCCACCTTTGCACCTCAGTGCAGGCTGTCTCTTGGTCTGGGCTGGGGACTGAGGGGCTCTACCGGGCTCCCTGCCTAAGAGCTGGTGGGTACAGGACAAAGGTCCTATGTGGCTGAGAGGCGGCATGGGGCAGGGCCCCCTCTGCGCTCTGGCAGTTGCAGACTCACCTCTCTATGCCTGCTTCCCGCAGGCCCACGTGACTCAGGGTAGCACCCATTCTCAAGCTGAATAACAACAGTAGTGCTGTGGGTGAAGGACTCGGCATGGCACCCAGAACAGAGCGAGTGCCCAGTACCAAGTGAGCTTTCTCTTTACAACCAGTACTGGTGGGTCTAAGAATGGACAGTCCTGAGAGCTGGACCAGGGAACATTTAGATGTGGCCACAAATGGTCTCAGAGGTGGCCCGAGGGCTTGGAAGACCTGAGCACAGCCAGTGCCTGCTGAGCAGCGAGCCCGCCGACTGCTGGCGGATGGTGGTAAATGAACGGTAAGTGCTGGGAGTCGCTTTAGCCTGCGGGACACTACAGGAAAGTATCCATGCCAGGGCTGGTCACATCTTTGGGTCAGAACCTCTTCTAGAACAGTCTCCATTCTTACCGACTCTGACCCAAACCCTCGCCCTGTAAGTCTCGGCCACTCCCTGTGCCAGGACTTGGCTTCTTCTCCTTCTTCCCCTGAGCACTTCCATCTGCAAGTGTGAGGTGAACAAGGGCTCTGACCAGCGTGACGCACAGCCAGCGGGTGGAGGGGATGTCCACGGCATCTGACGGCCACCTAGGGTCCTTCATCCTCTGTACTGCACAAGGATCCCAACCCTCAGGCCGACCAGGGAACTGCTGTCTGCATTCTGCAACTCACCAGTTATGTGCCTGTCCCCAAACACTACCCAGCTCTCAGCAGTTTATAGGAACAAAACTTGTGACGGAGATGAAGGACAGTCCTACATCCTCTGCTCTTTCCAACCTCCACTTTTACAACAGGAGGCTACAGACTCCTGTGGTTTTCATAAGGAACAACACTGAACCAAAGGGAGAGGGTTCTAAGTTTGTGGCTTGGAAAACATTTGGGTCTCCCTGTCAGAAACACTCCTTGGGGGGTCAGACTATTTTGAGTCTCTCTGAAACCCTGCAGGCTGAGGAGGCCATCTATGAATGCACAGCAAAATGTCACAGATCCCACAGAACTGTCAGGGCCCAGGGTTGGGGTAGGAGGAAGAGTAATGTTGAGTTTCTTTTTAAGTTTCTTTAAACAGGGCCTAAGTCTAGCCAGGGTGACCTGTGGAACTCACTATGTACCCCCAACTGGCCTCAAACATGTGGCAATTCTCCTGTCTCAGCCTCTCAAGTGCTGGGATCACAGGTATAAACCACAGCACCTGGATCTAATCAATGCTTTCTGTTGTTAGCAGTGGGGTTTTTTTTTTTTTTGAAACCCTGAGGGTTGGACCTTACATGCCAGGCAAGCACTCCACCACCAAGCCCCAACCCCAGCCCCTCAGAGAAGAAAATGCTAAATGATCATTTGACTAGGGCATCACATACCCTGTAATGGGTCAACACCCACACCAAGTCTTTCTGACCTCAGCCACAGATAAATGGCTGAAGCCAAGAATGCTGATGTCTCTACATGGATTCTTAGGAAGTTACTGGTGCCTCAACCTCTCAGCCGCAGGCCCCACCTTCCTCAGGAATCTCAGGCAGCTGCCCACTCAAACACAGAGGTGCTGGGAGGACCCTCCCTGGCTTGAGGTCTGGGAAGGTTGGCCCTAGATCCACAGGACTGAAGCTATACATGCTTACTGGCAGGGGTGGAAGGTTTGGGGGAGGGGATGGAGGGGATGAGACAGGGACACACCTGGGATGCTTCTGGTCATCTAAACTGGCTTGGGATAGATGAGTGCTGGCTCTGAGCTTCTGACTTCACTAGGATCTGATTTCCAAACAGCAAGCAGAGCTGTCATGCTCAAACACCCTACAGCAGGGCTATGTGATAAGGAATGACAAAGGAGACTTGGATAAACAGCACATGTCCATTTAAACCAACCTGCTGGTGACAGGCTACCACTGGGGAAAACAATGGAGACTAAGCTTTTATCCTCTTTCCAGACAATCTTCTGGACACACACCACGAAGTGTGTTACACGATGTCCATCACACTTTCTCAGAAGCAAGCCCAGAGCTGTGATGTCATACCCTCAAATGAGGCCCAGAGCCACACTGAATGGCACTTGGGACGGAGGTGCCTGGCTGACTGCTGGCCCTCTTAGTTGCTGCCAGAAGCACCCAAAGCCGAAGTCCACACCTCCATGGCCACATGAACTAAGGTCTTCTCCTGCCCATCAGGAGACTGCTGGCAGCTCAGTATGTCACCTCACAGGGCCCAGGGAAGATGCTGTGACTACACTGACTCTGAGGGAGTACGCTTCCTTTCTTGCTGCTTTTTGGTTGGTGAAAAGCCTGAACTTCTCAAGAACATGATGATCTTATTTGATGTGAGCACAACAGCACTCTCAAACTCTTCAGGTGGCATGAAAAAGAAAAAGAAAAAGAAAAAAAAAAAACAACAGTCCAGACAGCCTGTTACCTGGGTGAGAATATAGCTCCTCTGGGCTTCCTCCATTTTTATCAAACTGGCATTGATATAGTCATTATCTTCCTGGTGCAATTTAATCCGACTGTGATCAACTGAAAGACAAAGGCAGAGCTGGGTTAACCCTACATTCTAAAGGAAGACAAAAGCAGAGCTGGGTTAACTCTACATTCTAAAGGAAGACAAAAGCAGAGCTGGGTTAACTCTACATTCTAAAGGAAGGCAAAAGCAGAGCTGGGTTAACCCTACATTCTAAAGGAAGGCAAAAGCAGAGCTGGGTTAACCCTACATTCTAAAGGAAGACAAAAGCAGAGCTGAGTTAACCCTACATTCTAAAGGAAGACAAAAGCAGAGCTGGGTTAACCCTACATTCTAAAGGAAGACAAAAGCAGAGCTGGGTTAACCCTACATTCTAAAGGAAGGCAGAGAGGGACCACAGCCTGAAGGCAAGGGCCTTCACTATTCGGGTGACTCTAGTTATCTGTGGGGTGACTGGCATTCTCAGGACTGCTGAGTACCAGAAATGTCACATTCCATAGCAACAGCCAGCATCTCCAGACCATGCCCTCTTTGGGAAGGCAGATCTTAGGTCCTTTCAAGTGACAAGCATCACCCTCCCCATCCACAGAAGTCAAAGGGTCCACCTCTTGATGGGTAACATCGAGGCTGTAAAAGGAAGCAATTCACCAAGAGCTGCCCCAGCTCCCTGTGACACACTGAGGTGTCTCGGGGGGCTGATGATGACAGCCCAGGTCTCAAGCACTATAGAGAGAGTATCCACCTACAGCGCAGCATCGAGCCATGTGCAATGAAATGATTCAAGATCTTTTGGACACTATGATCAGAAGCACTAAGAAGGGGATTTAAAATGGGCAATGATGGCACACACCTTTAATCCCAGCACCCAGGAGTTCAAGGCCAGCCTGGTCTAGTGAGTTCTAGGACAGGCAGAGTTGCATAGTGAGACCCTACATCTCAAGGGCGGGAAGTAAAAACCCTCTCACACAGATGTGATCTAGTAACAAACTCACGAGGGAGGTTCTGCCACAGGATCCTGTCAGAGCACCCTGCTTTTGTCTCTCTTTCCCTCATTACCTTGTCATAGAGCAGGGGCTCCCATGGGCCACCGTTCTTTCCCTGCAGCTGTCACAGGTGGAAACCAGTCAGGATGAATCACATCTGTCACCTGAGCCCAGAGGGAAAGGGAGCAGCCCTTGGACCAGCAACCTGCAGTTTCTGTCCCGAAGACTCTCCAGCTGCATCTGCCATTTCCCATTGTGGAGGTCAAGAGATTACTGGGTTACTTTTAATTGGACCAAAAAGAACAAAGGGGAAGGTAGTGGGTAGAAGACTGATTGACTGAGCCCACCAGGTCTGGTAAACACTCACCTACAATCCTAACACTAGGGAGGAAGACAAGGGATCATGAGTTCAAGGCTAGCTTGGATGGTACAGAAAGCTTGAGTCTGGCCTGGGCTGCATGAACCCAGTTCTCAAAAAACAAACAACAAAACCCTTGTGTGAGTGGCACTGGTGACCTCAAAGGCTCTAACAGCACCAGCTGGCCTTGGGCAAACTCTTCATCTTGTTAACTTCCTTGCTGAACACAAGCACGTTCAGAGCAGGTTGTGGGGTGTCCAGAGTCTGTGCCCAGCTCCACAGTCACGGGCACCAGCTGCACTCCAGGCTGGAAAGGTCTCCTTTCACCTTGGACCATCTCTCCTGCCTCCATAACTGGACAGAAAGTACCTTTTCTACTAGAGTGTGCAGAGAAAAGGAGAGACAAGAGTATGTTGGGGTGCAATGCTGAGAATGACCCCACAAGCAGCAAGGGGACACTGCAGCTGCTGGTCCCCAGCCTCGGACATCCGGGCAGTGGTAAAAGGGTACAGTCTCCAGTCACATCGCTATCCTTAAGTTCAAGCTAGGACTCCAGAGCAGAATCAGCAAGGGTTTTTCACTATGTCACTTCACTAACACATCTGATGTCCCTCAGCTAAGAAGTCTAAAACAGCAGATGCGGGGGTGAAGGCAGTCACCCTCCACCTAAGGTCCTACATGCACATTTCAAATGGCCCACGTGTACCAAATGCACACCTGAGGGGGCACGAGGCTTAGTGGCTTACACTGCGGCTTCACCTCCACACACTCCTGCAAAGTGGGTGTGACTCCCACGTTACCCACAAACAGAGCCACCAGGGTGGCAGGCCAGGAGGCACAGTTTGTGTTTCAACCCTAGACCCACTCTATGTTTCCCCAGGAACTTGACCAACAGCCACGTAGATCTGAGTAGCTACAATCCTTATTGAGGAGTAATGTCTACAGACTTCAAGAGGAGTCAGTAACCCTGGGTACTAAAGGCAGATTCAGACCCTGGAGCCCAGTTCTGGCTTTTCTTGTTTTCCAGACATTCTACACATTTGTCGATCTACTCTGAAGCACTTTCCAGATGAGGAGCCAGGCAGAAGGTGCAGGTTCAGGCCAGTGGGCACTGCCAGTCCTAAGCAGTGAAACCAAGGGCCAGCTGGATCTACACACCTGATGGAGCAGAGTAGTGTGAGCATCACTGTGGCTCCTAACCGGGCTGACAGTCAATGGCATAGCTGCTGAGTCACCCCCAAGAGGCTCCAAGCCACTCCACTTCAGGGAGGAAAATGACTCACCACAACATAGAACTAAAAAGAAGGACTCTGAACCACCAACATTTCCAGAAACTGGAGCCCCATGTCTGCAACAGCGAAAGCGAGCTATGACACTGCATCTCCGGTGCTTATCATAGGAGACAATGAGGTCACAACCTCTGCCCCTCCCTGGACAACGCAGCCTGTGACTGGGAAGTGTGCGTGGGGCAGTGGCCACAGTGGGTACTTACAGGGGCTGACATCCCGGTACCTGTTCCGGTTTTTGTTCTTAGGAAGTTTCGCCACTCTGCACGGGAAGTCACTGGCTTCATGTCGAATATCCTACAAAAAAGGAAGAAGAGTTCTCTTTTGGAATCTACACCAGGAATTTATTCAGACAGTTAACGGAGCACCAGAGACGAGCCAGGCACTGAGGGCAGAGCAGACAGCAGAGAGGCCTGGGCAGTGTGGGCAGGACAAGCTGATAATGCCCAGGTACCTACTAGGATACAGGAACAGAGCACGGCGAGCAGGCCCGGGCCTGGCTCGGAGGCCGGAGGAAGGCGTGTGTTACTGAGGAAGGCCCGCTAGCAGAAGCACAGGGCTTATGTCAGGAACAGTGAGTAGGCAGCAGGGAAGGGGGGCAGATGGCTGGAGGATGTGGTGGGCAGGATAGATCTTGAAGTTCTTGAACGTCAGGTCTGGGAGTTCCAACTGGAACCTTCTGGAAAGGAACACGTCAATAAACACTCCACCATCCAACTGCTGTCTTTGGAGGCAAACACGCCCCTGCATGAACAGAAGCAGCTTCCTCCTGCCCAGCGGACCACACAGCCCACCCTGCTCTTGCTGGGATGCCGCCAGTCTCAGGGAGCAGTCTGGGGCAATCTGCTTGTTCATTAGCAATGGGAAGCGCATGTGCACTGTGACGTGCTACTACCATGAAAGTGTGTCTCTAAATGGCTTTAACTCTTGACGCTAGGGCTGGTAGACTTCACCACAGTGAAAAGGGATAGCAGAAGAAGCCATGGAGACAGCAGTCGACAAGGTGAAAATCAGACAGTTCGGCAGTGGGGAAGCCCCATACTCCCGCAGAGACATGCATGGCGTAGACAGCTGTCACCTTAGAAGAAAGGGTGAGACTCCTGGGGGGGGGTGGATAGCTCCCTCTGAGCATGGCTAGATGTCACTACTGGCCTTCCCTCCGCTGCTGTGACAGCTCTTGCCTCTGCAGAAATCAAAGGATGACTTTCTGGAAGAGTCAATCAGGTCTCCAGACTAGCTACAGTGGCACAGTGCAAAGAGAAAGACCCTCCCAAGGCACAGTGAGCCGTGCACGCCCAAGCTCAGGCCCTGCCTTCTTTCAGATGCTCACATGGGGCAGCAGCTCCACTTCCTTTCCACATGGGAGGCCTTCAGATGACCTAACCAGACAGCAGGAAGCACCAAGGATTCCAGCAGCCGGAAATGCCTGTTTCCTCAGTGCTCTAACTACCTGACTGTGGGCCTCTACTCTCCCTGATGGCAGATCTAACAGGAAAACGAGGGCCAGGGAAAGAGTCCCTCAGAGGACACAAACTGCAGAGCACAGAAAGCCTGAGAAGAAATACTACTGATACACTCAAACAGTAAGATCTCATACTCGGCAATCAAGAACAGGATGCTATGTCACACCAAACAAAAATGTCTCTTGTAATGTAAAACAAAGGCAGCAAGAATGACAAACTCAGCTGAAAAGATGAAGAACTCTTCCCACCCTCCTACAGCCACTCCAAAGGAAAGCCAAAGACAGTAGCCACACCCGCTTTTCCAACAGCTTTTCCACCCCTCTGAGAAATAAACCAAGAAAAGGGGGAAGGAAACAAAGTGGAAAATGATGGCAAAGGAAACTTCCATGGAAACTGAAGACTGACAGACTCTTGCCAATATGACCAAGACAACAGTGTCAACAAGCTTGTCTCCTCCAGCACACTAACTGTGACAGTCCTTACACGAGGAAATGAGACAGGGGATTCCGATGAGACACGAGGCACAGGTCTTCAGAGTCTGGATGACAGCTAAGCATGGCAGGCCTACAGACCCACCTGCAGGACAGAGGTCTTCAGTTGGGTGGCCCCACTAAAACTGAACTGCTCACACAGCTAGTACTAAAGCCATGGTGACAGGGCACAGCAGGGCCCAGTGCCAGTCACGGTGTCCGTGCACACCTGTGATTCCAGTACTTAAGGTTGAGTTGAGAACAGCCTGAGCTATACAGTGAGGTCCTGCCTCAAAGAATCAGAAAGATACCAAGTGTGGAGGTGAACACCTTTAATCTCAGCACTCTGGGGCTGAGGCAGGTGGGTGTTTGTGCTACTTAGCAAAGTGTCCTGTGCAACAGGAAGTATTTCTGTCTACTTCCAAAAGAAATAGATATCTTAATTTAGGGCGTGTGATGCTGTGAACTGGAGGCCAGCCTGGTCTATATGAAACCCTGTCTCAAAACAAAACAAACAAAAAATAAGCAGAACAATAGTTTTGTATTTTGGGAAGTCCATTTCTACCACTAGTCAAGTATCTCTTATATCCAACTAGTCAGAAATTCCAAATGAATGAACAGTTGACATGCCCGAATCTGAGATATCTATTTCTCTTGGAAGCAGACAGATGAAGCCAGTCGACCATGCAGAAATACTTCGTGTTGCACAGAGCACTATGCTAGGTGGAACAGCAGCACTGGCTTTAACTTATCCTCTCTAGTCCCTCCCTGAGTGTCTGCTTCTGACTCCACGGTGAAATGCTTACTTGCTTATAATTATCTGCCACGGGGAAGAGCAGGGAAGCCTTCCTGAAAGCAGTCAGGAGTCTGTTAAGAGTGAAGCCCTCACCTCCAATCGCAGACCCGGGCCAGGGCGGCCCTCACCATGACCTGCTCACTGACCGACAGGACAGTGCTAATCCCGTAAGTGTGCAGCTTCGGACTCTAAACCATCATGCTGCTTCCCGGCACAGGGTGGAAATGTCCTCAAGGGAGCATGCATCCGAGAACACCCCATCAGGCCCATCATAACTGCTGCAGAATGCATGCTCCTGGGGTTTGGTTTGGTTTCTGCATCTGTCACACAGAGCCTCCTGACAAGACAGTACCAAACGAGCTACTAACACAGGTAAAGCAGGGAAGGTGGGTGTGCTGGTACACCCGGAATCCCAGTGCTTGCAGGGCTGAGGCAGGAGGATGCAGAGTTCAAAGGCAGCTTGGGTTGTCTCAAGAAAGAAAAAAGAATGGGGAGGAGAGTAATTTTCTTCAGTGGTAGAGCCTCTGGCAAGATGCCCATTCCAGTAAGTAACCCTTCCCCTCTTCCAGGCTCAGCCAAGCAACTCTAACTCAGGGAACCACAAAACAAAACAAAACACCCCAAAAATAAAAAACCCAACCCTCCATGTGGTGATATATTGTTCATGATCTAATAAAGCTTGCCTGGAGATCAGATTGCAAAGCTAGCCACAGCCACAGAGGCCAGGCAGTGGTGATACACACCTTTAATCCAGGCAGCCATACTAGTTAGCCTTAGAGGCTGGTGGTGGTGGTGGTGGTGGTGTACGCCTTTAATCCCAGCACTAATATCAGACAGGAACAGGGTCTCAGAGCTGGCAATTCGTCTCCAGCCACATTGAGGAGAGGACAGTCCTGAGAGAGGCTGCTTTGCTTCTCTGATCTTCAGGCAAGCTTTATTAGATCATAACGTGTCAATCACCACACTCCAAAACATGAGTGTCTTGTTGGGAAGCTGAGTCAGTAGGAAGCAGAGAGGGATTAAAAGGCAGCACTGAGGGGTGTAAACTGTGTCAAGAAATTAAAAAACAAACAGACACAACCTACCCACATTTAAACAAGAAGGATTATTTACAAAGTGTCTTGACAGGTGCCTTGTGTCCAAAGGAGGGAAACCTCCAACAGCACCTGTGACCTATTAGAACTCCAGGGACTACAAAGTCCTTGCCCCTGGTCAATGTAGGCCTTTCTCTGAATGGCTGTCTGATCTGAGGTGCTGCTGGAAGCTACCGATTCTCAGAAAACAGTAAGCTGAGAGATGAACAAAGGGCAGAAACACCAGACCGTGTGTGACTGACAGGCTAGCATCAGACCGTGTGTGACTGACAGGCTAGCACCAGACCGTGTGTGACTGACAGGCTAGCACCAGACTGTGTGTGACTGACAGCCTAGCACTTCATGGGACGCAGGAGCAGCTGTGACTGAGGAGTACACAGGGATGGTGCTTGTGTCTGGTCAGCTCACCTATGGTGGACATAAATACCCAAAAGTAATGACCGAGGAGCACATCTTATTAACTAAGTCTCATTATAATGAAACAGAAGATCTGTGTTGGACAAAGTACAATCAAAACCCACAAATCACCAGAGGCTGAATGGAAAACAATACTTCATATAGTCCAGAGGCTGTCTTCTGAATGGAAAACAATACTTCATATAGTCCAGAGGCTGTCTTCTGAATGGAAAACAATACTTCATATAGTCCAGAGGCTGTCTTCTGAATGGAAAACAATACTTCATATAGTCCAGAGGCTGTCTTCTGAATGGAAAACAATACTTCATATAGTCCAGAGGCTGTCTTCTGAATGGAAAACAATACTTCATATAGTCCAGAGGCTGTCTTCTGAATGGAAAACAATACTTCATATAGTCCAGAGGCTGTCTTCTGAATGGAAAACAATACTTCATATGGTCCAGGCAAGCCTCAAACGCTCTTTGAAGCTGAGGATGGCCTTGTACTAATCTTCCTAGTCTTCCCAGTCCTGGGACTATGTACCAGCATACCTGGTTTACTGGGTAATGGGCTGGGGCCCAGCTCTCATGAATGCTAAGTGAGCAACATTACCAAATATCTCCACCCCCAGCCTGCTTCACTCTTCACACACAGGAGTTAACAATATAACATATGGCAAAGACTTAAGAAATGGTGTAGTTTAACAGCACCTCCTGGTATGCATGAGGCCCTGGGCTTGATTCCCAGTAATACACACACACACACACACACCCCTAATATATTTTTACTTTATTTATACATTCATATAATAAATATGCAAGTGGTAATGTGCTTGATGTCACCAGATTTTAATATAAACTATAGTGTTTAAACAATAGAGTCCAAATTAGCTAATCAACACCAAGCCAGTTTTGATTTAAAAAATGCAAAGGTTTATTCTAATTGTGTGTGTGTGTGTAAACACACATGTATGTGCATGTGCATGTGGATTCAGGTGCCCACAGAAGTCAGAAGAGGATGTGAGATCCCTTGGAGCTGGACTTACAGGGTGGTTGTAGTCACACATTGTGCATGCTAG